GTGGTTGCGGGTGCTGATGGGTTTTAGTGGAGTGCGTCGGTGGTGTGCGGGAGAGTCTTCTGTCTGTGTTCTGTAACCTCCGGGCTGACTCTCACTCAGGTTTACCTCAGATGGCTTTTCGGTAGCTCACCATGATTCTAGAAGACTAGGATTCCGCATCATACTCATAACCTAAACACCCTCTCACACAATCTCTCAAGGTATCACTCCAACTCATACACTCATCGACACTCCAAGGTACTGAAAATTCGTCACTCTTTCATATATGAAACAAGTCTCTACATATGAACTCTCCAAACTTGCTTGAGAGGCTCTTTCCTACCTCTCTATATATACTACTTGAGAATTTACCATAATAATAAATGGTAATTTCTATCTAACTTACTTTTACGAAGATAAACCATAGTAAGGTTGACTAGTTATCAATATGTGGCAACATACCATTGGCCCTCTAAACCTTCTAGATGTTTACTAATCCCTAGATTGAGGTGGCGACATGCCATTTGTGACTTTCCAACTTCTAGAACTTCCACTTTCCACTAAGTCAACATTAGACTTAGTCTAACCAATGGAATACTCCTTACTTTAGTCAAAACAATCAAAACTAAACATGAAGTTCAAAATTCTTTTCTCTTGGAATCTAGACTTTTGTACAAGACAAAATAGAAGTGCTCACTCAAATCTTCTAGAACTTCTCTAGTTATTCCGTCAAGTATAGACATTATAGCTAATCTAGCTAGACATAGTCATGACTGGCTAGATTTAGTCATAACTATCATAACCATGATTAACTCCTTGGCTAATTCTAGTTTTAATTCACACATGCAATATCTGATCTTACAGTACTGTTTCCTCTTGTGGAGGGAGGAGAGAGAAGAGTTAGGATATGATAGCTAGAGGTTATTGACAATACTAGAAGTAGCACGAGTGGCTTTTGTCTAAGTGCAATTTCATAAGTGTTAATGTTTTATCCTTGTTCGCTTAGACCCCCCATCCGGACTCAAACGCAAAGGGGTGGGGGGTTTAATGCTTACAGTAGTGAAATCTTTGTGATTGTGAAATATGAACAAACCTATGTTAGCTAGGTCAATCACCTTGAAAGAAGTGGATTCATGTTTAGTAGCTTATCACAATCACAAAGATTTCACTACAATAGTAGGAGAAGAATATATCTTTTCAATGCCGCCAATGCTTACAACATGAGATAGCAAAAGTTTTCTCTAGGTTTTGGATTTTTGACAAGAGTGACAGATTATATTATTAAGTTTTTCAAGCATATTGACCTATAGACTCTGGTTTGCTCACTTTTCATAATCACAAAGATTTCAATTGGCACAGAGTTTTAAGGCCAAGAGATTGTTATGATGAGATCGTTAAGTTTTTAAGTTGTGTGGCTAGTAGAATAGAACTTTGTAATTTTCAAGATTTCACCAAAGATACTTTGTGTTAAGAGTCTTCAGCAAATAGTTTGGTTGTGTGAAATGAATTTGTTCATCAAGGAAGGGGTCGACACATTACTATATTTACTTGTTCCTTCATTTACATTTTAGTTGAAACGCATGCATTGATTAGGAACATGCAACAATTCAGGCTATTGTTTAGCAAGTTTTTTGCCAATCAAGGAAGTTTCCGTTTTTGAGAATAGGTAATGATACTTCAAAGTGAAATTTACTTGTTTGAAGCAGCTTTATCTCTATATCTCAGGTTTAGAAGCTTCAAAGTTCAACTTGAAAATGCGGATGCTTAGTTTGAAGTATTTCCCCTCTTTCTATGCTAGGAACATGATTTGCTATGGCTCTTTATGCCAAAGATTGGCGTATTTGCATCGTGATTGCTGGATCTGGACTTTTTGGACGACTTGCAAATATGTTTCTGTACATTTTTCTGCACATGTGTTTGTTGACAACTCTCGCACTTTGTCTTATGTACACATTTGGAAAATTAAGGTTCTACTTTCTTCTCTTTGCATCTGCGCAGAATTGTCATGTAGACCTGATCACCAGATTTTATAAGCAAAAGGAGCTTTTATAAGAAGGCCAATGTCATTGGCTAATTATAATTCTTTGAATGTTCGCAGCTCTGGCAACAACACTTTGCTCAAATGATGACATGGCCGTTGGAGTTCTTTTTGTCTTATTCACACAAACATGTTTGGTCCGATGAAGTTCAATTTTGTCACTAAGTATTTGTTCACTTGATTTGTAAGTAGGTACACAGTTCTTGTCTTAAAGAAAGCCTTCGCGCCTTCAAAAGAATGTGCGGAACTTCCATGTTGATATAGATTGACATAGTCAGAGGTTGACTTGAGGTAGCGGAGAACATGTAGAGCCAAGTCAAGATGAGCTTGTTGAGGGTTTGACATGTAAGATGCAACTCTATTTACAGAATAAGAGCGATCCGGCCAAGAAATTGTTTGAAAAAAGAAAAAAGTAAGATTAGTTGTACAGTCAATTGAGAGTAATATGTAGAGTCGACAGTAGTAGTATATGTTTCTGCAAAGAGAACTTGACCGGCAAGGAATGATACTCGAGCATGGTGGAGATGAGAAGGTATGAAGTCTTGAACGATTGACTTGGCGTAGTCATGTTGATGAATAAAGATACCTTGAAGTAGGTAGTCAAAAACAACACCAATGTATTTGGTTATTTTGCCTAAGTCAGTCACGTAAAAGGTGTCACACAGGTCTTTCTTAATCCATGTTATAAAAAGTTTGCAACTATCGGTAATAAAAACATCATCAACATAAATCATGACTTATAATGTGTTAGCGTCTTTGTGCTAAAAAAATATAAGTTAGAGTCAAAAGAGCTTTGACTGAGACCGATGTTACGCAATGCAAAGTCCCATCGTTCTGATTATGCGCGAGTAGATTGTTTGAGACCGTAGAGAGAGCAAAAAAGTAGACATACCATATGTTCTTGTCATGGCTTTTTGAATTCGGATGATTGGCGCATGAAAACTTTCTATGATAACCCACTTTTTGTTTTTTTTCGGAATTAAAACATTTTAGAATAGTAAATACCGCGGTAGCAGTTGTAAATAACAATCGGTATGTGAAAACAGAGTATAAAGGGAATCTCGGGATCTAGGAGGATCCAGGGCAGTCTAAGGGTTTTGGGCTAAGGCCACAGTCGGACGCTTGGGACGGAACAGGCGGTTCATGCTGCAAGACTCGCTTTGAGCGCCTTCAGCGGTAGATGCCTCATAACTTTCTCAATTCATAACGCCTTGACTTATTTAGGTTCTTGGTCAAAAGAGCTTAACAGGCTCGTTCTAACGAGCTTAAGAACTCTTAAAATGGATAAAGGATCACTGAGTTATGAGTGTCAGAAGTTACTGATATGGGGGCCTTTGGCGGAAGAGTGAATTCTCCATAACTTTCTCAATTCGTAACACCTTGACTTAGTTATTTTTTTTTACGAAAGAGCTTAACACGCTCGTTCTAACGAACCCAAGAACTCTTGAAACGGATAAGGTGTCACTGAGTTATGAGTGTCGGAAGTTACTGATATGGGGGGCTTTTGGAGGTAAACGCCTTCGGCGGAAGAGTGAATCTCTCATAACTTTTTCAATTCGTAACACCTGGACTTAGTTAGGGTTTTGATGAAAAAAGAGCTTGACACGCTCGTTCCAACGAGCCCAAGAACTCTCAGAACGAATAAGTGATCATTGAGTTATGAGTGTCCAAAGTGAAAGCTGAAGAGTGCCTTTGGCGGAAGAGTGAATCCCTCATAACTTTGTCAATTCGTAACGCCTTGACTTGTTTATGGTCTTGTTGGAAAGAGCTCAACACGCTCGTTCTAACAAGCCTAGGAAATCTTGAAACGGATAAGCAATCAATGAATTATGAGTGTCGAAAGTGACTAATATGGATAGGCGAAGACGCGAAAGAGTGCCTTCGGCGGTACGCGGAAGAAGATTCCCGACGGCGGAAATTGGCGGGATTATGTCAAGTGTAGGAAGCAGAATAGCGGGGTGTGAAGTTGCGCGTGGGAAGCAGAACGGCGGGGCGTGAAATCGCATGTGGGGAGGAGGCTGTTACCCATAATCGCGTGAACGGCATTCAAGCGGCATGTGGGTTCCCCGGACCTCGGATTTTGGAGAAGGAATTTCGGCCTAGGGTTCAGAGATCTTGCGGGGCCCATATCTTTGCGATGGACGGTCGGATAAAGCTGAAATATGGTGGGGCCGTTGGTCTCAGCCCCCCACGCATGCATGCGAATTTTCAGCCTCAGATCTTGGATCTAAAGCTGTTAAAGACGCTGGCGGCAGTAGGTTTAGGGTTTGGAGATCTTGCGGGGACCATATCTTTGCGATGGACGGTCGGATGGAGTTGAAATTTGATGGGGTCGTTGGTCTCAGCCCGCCACGCATGCCTGCAAATTTTGAGCCTCAGATCTTGGATTTAAAGCTGTTAAAGACGCTGGCGGCTCTATACAGTAGGTTTAGACTAAGATTAAGAGTTAGGATTAGGTTTCGGGTTAGGGTTAGATTTAGGTCGTAAGTTAGAGGGGCAAGCAACTGCCGACTACTCTGGTGTAGGATCTGTTCGCGGCTCGCATCGTAGCCGATGAAGTGGAGTGTTAGTTAGTTAGATCTTAGAAGGTATAAAGTAGTTCAAGGCGTCTTTCCTTGATGTGTGCAAGACGTCTATGTCATAGATCAATGATTTCTATAGAAACCTTGGGTAAGTAAGTAGCTGCTAATATAATAGGTTGAGATACATTGGGTGTTGCTAATAGTTTATAAAGCTTTGTTTGAGGGTTGCGAGTAGCTTGGAGAAATAGTCTATGAGCACTATCAAAGATAAAGCAATTGCGGAAGTTAAAGAAGATCATGTAGCATCGATAAGTAAATCGATACAAAGATAATAGGTTGGTTCTCACTCCATGAACAAACAAAACGTCTTTCACAATCTTTACTTCACAGGTGGAACCTAACCTGCAGCTTTGCCGATGCTAGAAATGGAGGATTGTGAGATCTTGGAGAAAAAAACTAGAGTTTTATGTGACGTGTGAGCTTGCGCCTGAGTCAAGAAACCATGGTTCTTCATCAACGATGAAAGCTGACATGCATGCGTTGAATGCCGCTTGATCTTCCCCGCTTGCCTTCTCCAGGTCAGATTTCTCATCACAACGTTTGCAGGGATGATGCGTTTGATAGTTGCGTCCCCGACTTTGCTTGAGCGGCCAAATCGTACTCCTTTGTTGTGGAACCAATCTGACTTGTGCACGTAGAGTATATCTTTGGATTCTTGTTGTTTGTCAAAAATCCCAGAACTTTCTTCGTGTAATAATAGTCCTTGCAATTCTGAAAATGTAGAACTTTTCTACCTGCATTTTTGCATCGCCTTAAAAGTAAGTTTATCCAAAAGCACAGCTCTTGGGTAAACTTGCTATTATTTGATCTACCAAGTCTTCATATTGTACTATAACATCTTAGCTGGCAAGCTGAGTGACTATAGAGTTCGTCTCTTGAAGATGAGAATCTAAAGTTTTGCATTCAATCATTCTTAGTACAACTTTTCTTTCAATGCAAGACGTCTAGATGGACTTTGAACATCATACATCTTTCTGAGCTTCTGTCAAATTTCTAAATGATATGGAAGATGAAAAATGTGAAGAGTAATGTGGTATTTTACCGTGGCCACAATTATCCAACTGGTGCAAATCTTGAGCTCCGCGTTGTTGTTTGGTGTGGATGCTGCTACTGCTGCCGAGGCGACATTGAAAGTCCTTGAGACTACGCTTGAGCTGGAGCTGCTTCTTGAAGTCGGATTCGTGGCAAGTACAAAGAAGCGCCAAAATTCTCTTACATAAGAATCATCTTACTACTATAACTTCACAATAAATAGTTTGCTTTTCATTCTAGCTTTGTGAAATCAAACATGTCACGAAATGTTGGATACATTTCTGCACTAGTTGATATGAAGAGAATTTTAATTTGTATTTTATAGCCTTCGCTCTGATAGCATATTGTAATACATAAAACAAACGATTGAATTGTATTCAATGACGGTGAATACATAGGTCCAATGTATATATAAAATATTAGAAGATTGAATCTTTGATTAAAAGAGATGTTCTAGAGTACATATACATTAATTTTATGTACTCACCTTCATTGAATTCAATTCAATTGTTTGTTCTTTTATTATAACATGCTATGAGAGTGATGTATAAAATATAAATTAAATTAATTCTCTTTATATCAACTAGTGCATAATAAGATCCAACATTTGGTGATATGTCTGATTCCACAAACAATTTTACAGGCAGATCAGAGGTTTTCTTCGCCAAAGACTATCCTCGAGTAGTGTATAAATACAAGATAATCCGTCTACATGGTACTAACAATGTCTACATCTAGCATAGCGCCAACCCAGCTCGCAAAACGTCGCACACCCCTATCTATCCCTCCCATGACTAAGAAGTGTTCCGAACAGCTGAAATCGCTTGGCCTTTTACAAACCCAATCGACTATCGAGATTACGATGTGTATATTTCATCTCATGACCCTGAAGAGGACCAAGCAATGAACTTCCACTATTAGATTAGTTCGAAGATAGTCACAGATGTATCACTTGCGTATCAAATCTCTGCCAGCTACCTCAGATTCCTCAACTACCATCTTGAGCAGTGTACGGAAGCATTGAAATGAGGGATGAGAACACATGATTATGCCTCAAGGTGATGACAGTGAGTAGGAAAGCAACTGTTATGTCAGTGTGAATGAGATCACCTGCCAATAGACTCAAACTGATGTCGCGATAACGTACGAAACGTGGAAATGGTGACTTCGTCTGCCCATTTGACAAATTGTAAGTATCTATCGTTTAGTACAACAGGAGTTGAGAACTTAGCCGCGTCAGCTCCGATACTTCCTCGTACAATGTGTATGATTCTTGCAGGTCCCCGGTTATTTGGATGTTCTACAGGGCGTCCATTTCGGTGACTGTTGAGACAGTATACAACTCTCAATTGAACATCAAAGCATCTGCACTGTTGATGACTTCTTCCTGTTAAAATGTAATATCTACACTCGATTTCTACGGAATAGCTACGTCTAAACCTCGTCTACAACAACCCCGTGATTTGGAGAAATGATCAGGTTTCGGAGGATTTACTGAGACGAATATTATCTGTAATCGTATTTGGGGAGATTCGAGATATGTAAGAAATAATCAAACTTAGCTTCGGTGGATACTCCGATGAAATAGTACTGGAATCATACCTTTCAACTTCTTCATTCCAAAGTAAGTAAGATTCGCATAACTACCAAGATCCACGATCCTCATCATGGCTACCAGCTCGTTTGTTTCTCATGTAATTGCAATATAGAGACTCCATTTTCGCAGGATCGGACTGCACTTAAGAGAAAATATGCATAGTTCAAAGCAACAGAGAAGGAAAGAAAAACAAGAACAAGAAGTCCAGACGAAATCGACAGGTGATATGTATAATCAAAATGCTATTCATTCTTACCGTTGAGAAGATACTTCAGCGACTTTAGTCTACCTTTCATCATGCTTGTCGTTATTCTAAGCTCCGAGTCTTAACTGCGATGGTAGAAACGAGAATGTCCATGGGCGTAGACGTTTAGCAATGTACCCACTCTATGATGGAAACTATCTTTATTATTCTGTACGGTGAATACACAAGAATAACCATAAGTTAAACGGGAATCTATACCTGAAACAAGTTCACGATTGTAACTCATACACATCATTGGTAGCGAAGGCTCATAAAAGACTTGATCTTTGACTCAAAGGTGCACAACAAGAATCCAGCGACCCGCCATAACATAACCTACAGTAGTCAAAAGAAGGATTGGCCGAACAGTAACAACCATCTAAAACTGCATTTGTTGTAAATCCATTGATGAACACTACTGTGGTTGTTAACCTAATTTTATTAACAAGAAAGAATGAGATGAGCTTTATGTGGTGACAATGAAAATTGGTATATGTGTCCAAATACTTCTTCACGAGAAATAATTCCTGGATATACATTTGTATTAACTGTATATCTGAAAATATGAGATGTTTATTCTTATTCGCTCCTTAAGGAGATAAGAGAGTGTATACAGCTACAAGAGATACGTGTAGCGACATCTCAATCTTATCATTCCTGCAAGAGTTGATAATGTAAATAAACGGGACAAGTCCATTGCTAAAGACGAACAAGGAATAGGAAGATATAAAGTTTTAATTAGCCAGGTCATCAAACTTGATCTCGTAAAGTTATAATAAAACAATGGTTTGGTCAATGTGACAAATGACAAAATTAATCGGATACGAATGAAATGATTTGTAAATCAATATGCTGGACTCGGAAGGTAAATTTGAGCGAACAGTGAAGATACAAGCTTCCACCTTTGAGTAGAAGGAAATGATCAAGAATATTGAATCCTAAAGAAAGTGGAAGTATGTTTAACCATGACAAATAGGAGATCTAAGGGAAGAGACCTCCGATTCCACCCCAAAAGAAAACAGCCTCAAAAGAAAAGCTCTTAATATCAACCAACATACAGATTAGAGCTGTTCGGGCGTTTCTTTCTGTAATCCGGTCTATAGATTTCTCCATCTGCTCGCCGCCATTTCCTCTTTTCTGCAAGGGAAGTTGTTGGGCTAAATCTTGTCGCCTTCGGCGGCCGAGCAAGAGGTTCAAAGTCGACACTCTCCTCTGGTCCCGTACTCTTGAAATTCCGTGGGTGGAACTTCGATGGAGCTCTCGTCCTTCTTGAAAGCTTATGGACCATCTCCGGCGATAAATAAAGCGGAGAGTAAAGCAGCGGGCCGACCTGCGACTCCGCGAGACTTCAAAGTTCCAACGTCTTCCGAACGGCGGACGAATCGTTCCTGAGAGGATGATGTCTACTCAACGCGGTTCCATAACGCCCGCCTCGTGGACGGAAGCGCACCTGCTACGAGCCGGTCCGTGGGTCCCTACGTTGACGGACAAAGATCCATCCCTCGTTAGTGCGAGCGGGCGGTTTTCTACTGTCCTTCTTCGTTCAGTGAGCAAGTATCGAGTCAGCAGCGGAGAGAGCGAGCAAGGAGGGGCTTCTCAGCGACTTGTCCGCAGTCCTATCGATCCGAAGAGTACCGGACGAACCAAATTCGACATCTGATCAACACAGATCTGGTTTAGCACGGCGAGAGCTTGGATTAATGTAAGGCTTCACAATTAAATAATTGTTCTGCAGCTCGGCATTTGCTTTTCAAAGCTCTTTCAAACAATTGTTTATGCGTTAGCCGCATCTGGGATTAGAGGTACTGTATGCAAGAAAGTTGTCAGAAGCTGGAATCGGAAGGAATGCGGTGAGGCAGACTATGGCAGAGTGATTTAAAAGCGTACCAAAAGTAGCGCTAGAACAGGTTGATGGAGATGAGAAAATTACGAGCTTGTGAAGCAGTGAAAGTGGTCTGATTTTACCCTGAACTTTCCCGGCGCCGTGCATGTCTTCTGTAGCCATTTTCTACCTCTTTTTGAGGTTGTCATGCAAATACCACCTAAAGACATTCTTCGTTCTCGTGGTCGGTCGTGGTCATGACTCGATCTCGTCCAGACTTTGCCCTCAAGAGTACAACCTACGTACCTTAAATAGTCCGTATGGTACGGTCCTTTCGCAACGATCGTCGGCTTTATGATTCATAGTAATTGTTTAGTCAAGCTATCATTCCAACACGCCTTGTTAAATAGTGGAAAGAATTGCGCTAGCAGGAGACAGGTCTCCACTGACTCTCCACAGTATACTGCTCTGCTGAACATGTTGATGTGGATTTTCTTGCATTAACTCTGCTTTCTCCTTACGGTCTTTCCAACATTGGCTGAACGTAAGTGAGAACTTGGTATGTTTAGGTCCTGGCAGTTTGAATCTAACATGAAAATTGCAAAAAAAACTCCCCATTTAACCAGTTTTATCTGGAAGACTGAAAATGAAAGACCCTCATGCTTTAGCTTGTTCAGAAAAGAATAGAATCGGTTGTTCCCGTTCCATTCACCGAGATCTCTTTGGGTGGGTAAAGTGAAAGTAAAATCACGTAGAATGAATAAGAGGTAGGTTTCGGATATCATCAAACTTTGATCTCCGAGTGCTTTTGGTTGTGCTCAGGTACCGAGGACGTTACAACATGAGTCTACGGTCTCCAGGTTAAATATGGTATCCAACAGCTGTCAAATACTAAGTGAGCAAAATTCTTGACAGCTTCTACCGATTGCCATCGATGTTCTTTTGGTATGTATCGATGCAGGTAGTCCAAACTCAAGTACTGCTTTCTCAAGAGTGTAGTGAGGTTTCATACGATGTCGTCATAATGAGCCAGATGATGGCTGACACACCTCGTGATGACAGGCACTTGGTCATAGAGTAAGACCGTCCTCCTTTGCGTCCACAGTCGTATAATGTCGAAGTAGTTACGACATATGAAAACACCCTTTCCGAAAAGCATGAAATCGGTGTCTTTCCTCTTCCGGAGGCTGCTTGATATTAGGTCCGAACGGATCTCTCTCTAGCACGGGCCTGCCACTCGAATCTCACGATCTCGATACTCAGCATCGTATTTGTCGGAATGTGCATGTCAGTATGGAACACATGAGGTCTTGTTCACACACTTCCGGACGGTGGTCATATTAGGACATCTCGCAACATTCCTGGGTTGGACTTTGTCTGTTGCTTTCGCACACGAGCAACCATTAACACTCGTGACGTGAACCCAAAATTTCCCCCAGGTGACGCAATCCCTAGGCATTACGTAGGAATTTCCAAGGGTCCCTACGGCAGCCGCACTTCCGTGAGTTAAAAAATTAAAGGGAAGGAGAGAGGGAAGTAGTCCTGCCGTGTAATACAAGACGAAACAGGATTTCCCCAAGAAAAAACACCTTACATTCTAGGAACAAAGCAGAGCGTTGTCGTTTTATGCTTATTGGCTTCAACAGGCAGATATTTGCAAGTTTGACAAACCGGACTTCTCCACTCCATTTGTCAAAGCCCCGTTCCTGCTTCTATTTGCTCCAAGTTGCTTGGGGGCGTCGCTGGCTAGTCTAGGCTCGGGTAAAAGGTCCCGACGCTCATTCGCGTGCTTTCGTTGATTGTGAGAGACTTTCCGTTCTTCATTCACCTCTTTTGCTCTCTCACAAGCACACACAGCATGCACGTGGCTAGCTCGAGATTCATCTAACATGTCCATCATGATACCCATCGGTACTTCCAAAATTCTTTCGGTGAAAGCGCGTCGAGGGAAGGACATAGACATAAACATACCCGCGCTGGGGAGAATTTACCGTGGCTTAGGAATAACGTTGTGACTACTCATCTCTGATTCTCTCCAGCCCTGATCGTTAGGATTAGGGCGACGTACTTTACGTCGTCTACCTTGTTCCTGATTTTCGACCCGAACGCCGTTTCCAGGCGTTTTCTGCCTATGGTTTTTACTGACTTTTCCCCAAGAATGTCAGTCCGAAATATTTTCGATATACAAGATTTTAAACAGGATTTTAGACTTCCTGTTGACAACCAGCAGAAACATGGTCTGGACTGCTAGGCTTGAAAATATCCACCTGTAAGAACGTGGCGAACAGTAAACATTTTGTTGGTCTTCAATCTTATACTGTTAACCTCTCCACTTGTCCCCCGTATCCCTGCAAGATTTTTCCCCATCTCGTGATACGAAATGACAGAATTATCTTCTAGAATTGAGGTTTACAAGATCATGTCTGTAGGTTCCGAAACATAATGAACTGGGACGGAGACATGTATGTATGCTTCAAGGATCCGTGAAACTCGGGGGCTCAGTAATCGTCACAGATCTGGAAATTTCCAGGTCTAATTATGTGCGTTATGAACTGTACAATGAAAGTGATTACATGACTACTCGGGTCGGGTTTAACGTGCGGGAGGTCATGCAATCCTTGTCACAAGCTCTGCCACATCGCTCAGTTAAACTTGTTTCAGAAGTATAATCTGACGGCCAAGTGGCTGCGTCGAAGTCTGCACGGATCCGGTAGGTTCATTATTCTTCGCTGGAGGGACAAGTTGCTAATATATCATCATATCTTGGGAGTTTGGATTATAATCGGACTTAGACGAAGAATTCGGAGCTAGAGGTGGATGGAATTATGGAGTTCTGACAGCTGGCGTAATGCGGAAAACACGATCTTGTGGGAAAAACATAAGTAATCGGGTGGCGTAAATCAGTGTAATCGGCAAGGTAAGAAGGATTGTTCAATGCCCAAGGTTGTGAACTTGCAGAACCGAGGGTGTGGGGGGGGTGAAGGTGGGGTTCGAGCGACATGTAGAGATCTGCATGGGCGTTCGTACGTCGCATATATGGACCCGGTGGGGCGGGAAAATTGCTCACGGGGCGGTGTCATGGAGGATAGCTGGCAACTCTGCGCGTACGAATCCCGTCACCTTCATTACAGATCCCAACCTGGTCAAGGCGTACACCTCGAAACAAGCAGGGATCTTTGGCCTCTTGCTTCTCATCGTACGATTGCGAAGCACGAAGCATACGACGATGCTTCGTGCTCAACGCAGTGCCACACCCTAAGCTTGGAGGGAGGTGAATAACGGAAGATATGAGGATTGGAGACAGCATCACCATCGGAAGGAGCTAATGTACAAGCACGCAGGATTTAGGATTCCAAACTCCAAGTAAATCTCATAAATCGGTGTACATGATCATGAGGAAGACCTTCTAACCCAGATGATCGAAAACTGAATGAGGGAGATGGACAGCAACGTCCACCACGGAGCAGGGCAAGACATCACGCCGAAAATATTCTAAGATAAACGTTCAGATCAAACCCGCGCACTAAGCGAAGGCTGGAAAGCACAGGCAACTTGGGGAACAAAATCATCGGAGCTCACTGGAGGCAGAGAACTCCAGCACTCGGTTTTCAGATCGTAGGCCCACACTGCGATGGTTCCACTGGACTCCATGCCAACAGCGAAAACGGACCTCTCTTGTCCGATGCATATGCAGACGGAGGTGTCATCGCCCAGGAGCCGCGACTTGTCACTCCAATGATCGGGCATCCGAGTGAACACAACGCACAAGTCTCTGAATATAGACTTGCTCTTGGACCAAACCTGTCCGGCCTTATCGAGCTTCCACACGCAGAGCTCAGGCCCAAGAATAGCTTCCCAGCACTGAGCCACCAGATAAATTTGGCCCTGATGCTCGAAGACATCGGGCTGGCCAATGCCCAACGGCGCTGCAAGGCGACTCCAAGTCTTCAGCTGCACATCGTACTTGAGCAGGTACCAGTCATCGACGAAATGGTCACCCTTCTGGCGAGCCATGGTATAAAGAGACCCGCGGGATGACACGGCCTTACCACGAATGGAGATCAAACTCCCTCGGGCGATCATGTGCTGCGAGTCCGCATCAACCCACGCGTCCGTGGATGACTCATAGATGCTCATCACAGTCTCGAGAGAGCCGTTCTCCTCCTCGTGCTTGAACCGGCCGATGACAATGAGCTTGTAACTCATGCCGTTCTTCTCGACCATGAGCCCGGCCACGTCCCAGGACAGCGACTCCGGCGGCGCAGAGCTGACACTCACTCTCGGCAGCCGCTTCCACTTCTGGCTCAAAGGATTGCAGACGACGAACTCATCGGAACTCTTGTCGCACTGAAAGCACAGGAGGCCACCGTCGGACACTACCAAAGTGAAGGCGGAGAGATCGACGTCGACGAAGCTCAGAGATAGCTGCTGCCACTTCTTGACCTCCTTGTTGTACGAGGTCAGGAAGGCAGAATCTTCTGCAACAGACATGAGCAAGTTCCTGGTGCAAGGGTTCGGGGGTAAGCCCCCGTTAAGAATGAAGTTGTTCCACTCCTTGCACACCAGACGCATCTTGATGAGGATGCGGAACGGCAGCTTGCGAAGCACCTCCTCCGTAAGATGGTGAGGCAACGTACTCCACAGCTCGGGCAGAAGGTCGCACAGCATGATGCTCATGATGGGACAGACTCACAGAACGGTTGCGAGCTAACTCGTGAGATTTCGATCGTTCACTGAGTAGCACGAAGACCGCACATGTCGAGGAGTGCCCCTCGACGATCCTAGTGAGTTACTGGCGGCCACCTTCTTTCTTCAGCCGCGAGCGCTTCTCGAACATGAAAGCTTCTCGGCCTCTCTCACGACAAGAGAGCTACGGCGGCGGCGCCAACTTCTTGCACGGCGAACTCCGCGTCCTCCCACCAGGCAATAGCCTCTCCGCCAACAAAAGCTGCAATCATCAGAAAGCTCGCTTCCTCGCACCGTTCGAACGGGTCGGGAGGAATGCTGCCGCGAGCGATGAGAAAGTTGGACGGACTTCGCATGAAAGCACTTCGCTCCTTCGACAGATGCACGAGTGACAGATCGCGCGGACGCTCTTGACGATGAATCAGGAAGAGAAAACGCTCTCAGACACGAGGCTCATATACTGAGTCTCCACCACGTCTAATAGTATCAGACCTCGCTCGATCACTCCGCCCTATGGCAGAGCTGCGGCCCGAGCCAGGAACCTTTCGAGATTCCGGTCAACATTCCGATCGAAGCGTTTGATCGCCGCGGCAGCCTCCAGACACGAAACCGCCCGCTCCCGGGTCCGGTCTTCGCATGTGCTCAGAGGCGCGAGAGCTGTCAGCGGACCGAGTTCTGCACTCTCGACTCGAATCTCAAGCCCGCATCGCACCGACAGACAATTCTCGCCCGTCCTTTAAATGCAAATGCCCGTGCCAAACCTGCAACCCACCTGCCGCTTCTTCTCGCCTTCCTTCCGTCCGTCCGTCCCTTCCCTCTCCATGACCAGGACCTCCACCAGATCTCCCTTCTTCCTGCCCCGTCTGATCGATCACGGCCCCACTCCTCCAGAGTATCCCTCAAATCGAACAACGTGTGCGATCCGCTCCGAAGTTCAAACCACCATTCAATTCAGAACGGTCTAAATAACGTTCGCGGCCCGCTCTTGCTCGTCCCTGAACAGCGCCGAAGCGCTCCTCTGCAGCAGCCGCTGCGACAAGGGAGCGGTACGAGCAGCGCCTCGTTCCCTCTGCGTGTTGGAATTGCTGCCAAATTGCCGCGGACGAAGTGATAAGTTAGATGGCCGGTCCGACGTAATATACTCCTCGGGGCTGGCTACGGAGAGGGGGGCAATTTAGGGAACCTTAAAGCGGGGCTAGGAGTGTGATGACATGACGGTCAGAGAGTGTCGAAATGGTTTCGGAGTGATGGCGACATCCGGTGCGAATATATCTTTCGATTTTCGCTTTTCCGGTTGCGCATTTCCATCAGCGGCTCTCGCACGCTGCATGGTGTCTCGTACATGTCGTCGTTTTGCCCCGTCAGTGTCGACTCACCACTTTCGCTATTTTGGTAGGTTCGATACCTCCGACGGCTCCTTTTTGCCTCTACGGCATGCGCTCGGACGGACTGTGAAAGGGCATACACACACTGCGTTGTCGTGGTTGTCCGGCAGGTCGTAACTGCGTAAAACTTCAATCCCTCCCGACTCCACTTGTACTATCTGCATCTGCGTAGTTCAATCGGGCCGACCTGGGAACTCCATTCTCATCCCACATGGCGCTCGTTGGAGTCCTACGAGGACCCACCATCCGATCTAGGGCGTCTACCTCAAAGAAATCCGGCACGCGAATCCGGCGAATCTGTGCCTCTGCCTTCTCAACCGGCGATCTGTGTCACCGTCGACATTACAACTCACGGGAGACTCAGATGATTCCGATTGCGAAAGAGAAAGCCTGCCATGTCACTCGTCTCAGCAGTTAAAGCTGATGATGACCTTCTATTTTGGAAATATATCAACGACGGCGCCAAATTTGGCATATCTATACAATCTTCTTCTATGGAGACCCGGAAGTAGCAAAGACGCTTCAGGACTCTACTACTGTATCCGCGAGTGAGGACGTGGTTAACCTGACGCACGATACCTGCTTCCTCCAACGAGACTTCCGCGAACTCCGTACGGACTCATACTGTACCACGGTACGTCTAATTCAACCATTTTTTCAGAACTCCTGCTTGGAACCCACCGAACCGGTGACTCTGAGTGGGATCCATCCTTCAACGCTTCAACAGACGCACCAAGAAGGAAAAGTACGACGCGAATTATGGGGTACATAATTGGTCCACCTCCTGGGCCCGGAAATTACCGGCCTCTCTGCGAGCCTGCGGAACAGTCGATAAAGGAACAGGAAGTGAATATTGATAATCGCTCCCGCCATGATTCTGCCTGCCTCTTTCCGAATCTGAGTCATCTCGTCGCGTGCTGTCTGCCTACGACCGGTTGCGAAGAAGTAGTCCCTGCGAAGGCTCTGACCGCTCTTCCTTGTCTGGATCTTGTCCACCGGAGTTAAGGTTCCAAACCTGAGCCGATTAAAAACCGTGCTGCCCATGCCGTCGGATTAGCATCGCCATCGCAACAATTTCGATACAACAGTCACTATCAGTGTCCGCGAGTTCACACTCCCAGACAATACTCCCACTTGCCGTCCAGGTTATAAATAATAATAATAATAAATTTAGCAATAACATTCATCATGTACTTGCAAAATTCGAAACCCAAATTCGGAACTTATATAAAATGATTCACTGTACTTTGCGCCAGAAAAAAAATATTATCCTCCTCGTATGCTTGAGTCCGTGCCCAGTGTTCATGAGGCAGGTGACATCAATCATGTCGAAGTTACGTGCCTGGTGAAACTTTAATTGTAAGAAAATGTTGCTTCTGAATGAAAGAATGAATCTTCAGAAATCAACATCATGTGATGGGATACTTGGTCTTTGAAATAGCTTTGCTATTCACTTATTATTAGAGAAGATTTCAACTCTAAGATGTATCCCACCATAGACGACGAGGAAGAGAATTATGTAACGAGGGAAAATGAATTTCGACCCCTCGCCGATATAGCGAGTCAAATTAATTCAAAGAACGAGTTGAGTCTTGGACGATTGTAGCCACATGGCAACACGCCCAAGCTTCTCATGTCTTATGCTCGGAACGTGGAGCATGAAGTCACAGCGTCGAGGAGCCCGTTCCACCGTTCCGGTCACACCAACACGGGCGAGCCGCAATGCCATGTCCAGGCGTCGACGTAACTGCGGCGAATGTTTTGGATGGATCGATGCCCAGACCCGCGGCGCGGCCAAGAGGAGCGCTCCTCTTGAATCTACGACTCGAGTTGCCAAGAGCGTGTGACAACTGACACCTTCATGACAACGTACATACTGTACACAACGACTAGGACTGCTCTACTCGCCGGCCCGACCGACCTGTAACGACCGGAGCGGAGCGATCATTGGAACATGTCGGAGTGAGCCGGACCCATCGAACCGGCGGATATTCATCTCTCCAGTAGAGAAAGAAGCTGCTGCAACGACGTGGCGCTAAGTCCGGGACTCTGCGACGTCCGTTGGACATTGTTGTCCATTTCAGGCGAATAATAGAAGAATAAAATACCATAATTCGTCGTGGAACAAATGTGTTGAAGTGGGGTTCTAAGGAGCTCAAAGTTGTCTGGTTTGGAATTCAGATGAGGGCTAGGGTTGGCCTTGCCACTCCCATGGTCTTCGCATTTCCCTCATGATGCCGAAAAATAAGCGTGCCATCTTTCAACTTTCTTCAGCACGATCTTTGCAGTATCATGGGTAAAGGATTTTTAGGGTAAAGGATTTTTTTAAATGTTGATGATAAACCCTATCATAAAAGAATGAGTGGGACATCTAAAACTGGAAACAGACACTGTCTTTGTCTAAAACTATTGGCATACGTGATACTCCCCACGTACTAGAAAAGCAAGTGGAGAATATGCATTTGATCAGTTTCTACCCTTGTTTGGTCGGCTGCGATATCCATTTCGTTATATTCAAACCCTAAATATTAGCGTTTCTAGATCTGCTTACAATTCTTCTTGTAAGTGGTATGTAATATTATCTGAGACTGAAGAAACTTAAGGTAAATGAATAAATGCGGTGTATCAAATGGCGAGGAACATGAACTGCAATTCAAACTAAGACGCAGAACTAACAAAGGTAAGAATATGACTGCAATAAAACTCCAAACAATGTCTGGCAAGTACAAATATGAGATCCATTCTTTCTAGACATCCTGACCTCCCGGATAGTACAACCACAATCAGTACCCCAATAATCACTGCGTGGAAAAGCAATGAAGAACAAACCGCTACCAAAGTCCTCAATAACTGTAAAAGGAATTGTTCAATACATGAAATAAAATAAAATAAAATGCCTTCCCAAGACCGCATAAGATTGGGCAACAACCGGTTTTAATTTGGCTAAGCGCACAGATTTTAGTGATGGGCCTTGCATATGTCCTCTTCCTAACATGTTCGAACACTGTGATTCTACTTTTACATGATCACACATGTTTTTCACAGTTAAGAATGACACTAAACATAAAAATCATTTCGAACTTAACGCCATCTTTGTTTACATGAATCAAGTTCCTGCACCAGCCAATATAGGTTTTTTTTTCTTTTTTTAAAAAAACCTCAATCCAAAGAACTAGTTTTGAAGAGCTTTGGTCACCCACTTATATTTCATGTTCTTATAATATACAATCAGAAAGTTACATTATCACCTTATCAACTTACCAATAGCATTTTCTGAAATCGCAACTATAACCACTGGTTACCCAGCTGACGAGTGGTGATGCCACATGAAAATCGTGAAACTTGACATCAGTAGAACACAAGACTTTCTATTCCTTTTTCAGATATTTATCACATTTTTCAGCTAAAGGTGCAGAGGCTTATACGTAGAATGAAAATGGGTGGTATCTGTACTTCTACCTGTACCGGGTATTTGAGGAGTACCATCACATGCATGATCATCATCAGAACGACGTAAAGCACGTTTGTACGTGGTAAGCCACACTGTACTCGGTTGAGAGCTCTTGACCTCCACCGCGTCAGCAGCAACGTCACGGGCCATCCATCGTCGCAACACACCCACTTTTCATTTTCGACCAAAAGCTTCAAAACCCTCGAAGTCTTCCAGTTCCACGAATTCGTTGAAACATGCTCTTCCACTGCCCTAAACCCTAAACAACAACCACTCTCGAATTAAGCTTGCACTTGTCTTTACCCCGTTGCTCTGATTCTTAGATATGGACGATCTAGCTGGCAGATTACATGGGTCACAGCACTTGATGACTCTTCTTCGATCGAAGTTGGGGAGGATGAAGAAAACGGGATTCAAGAGATTTATTCATGCAGTCATGGGCATTTCTGTTCGGTCGAATCCACTTGAGGAGGAGGATTCGTTGGACACAAGATCTTCATAACAAGATTTTTGAATGAAAGGGAATCCTTGAAGATATCATCAGATATCTATACTCTTCTTCTTTGTTCACGTCCCAGAGCTTTGTGGATGTATTGAGTGCAGAGAGATATTCCCCGGGTTTACTTCCTGTGAGAAGTAACAGACGGTAGTTAGAAAAGGTTTTACCACGAATTGGTGGCCGGTTCAACCTGCGAAACCGGAAGCGGAATGAATGTATGAATGAACGAACGTACGAGAGGCATGCATGGGTGCTGCTCAATTGCATGTCTTTCCCTGAGCACTTTTGTAAGCTTTACGTGATTCGCCAAGTTATTTCTGTTGAGGGTGAAAAGTAGAAAGCTCAAAGCACCTAGCACGAGGTACATCTTCGTTCCAACGGTACACTTGCCTTTGAGTAAGATTGAGACATTGTAACGACATCTCGCTTTGTGAAAATTTGTACTTTTGTTTTTATTTTTCAGTTTTCTTATATGTCCACATTTTATTCTATTGGCCCCCTTTTTCCTTGCTTAATATATTGTGGATAATGCCTTACCATTGATGAATGTTCCAAAATTAGGATGGATGTGCCTTGCGATGGTTGAAAAACAGGACTCTTATTTCACTGTCAATGGATGTTTATAACATTCTGCTGTTGATCAGTGTTTGATAAATAAACAAAGGAAGTTTGAGATTAACAGGAAGAAATTATGAACGCTAAGAAGTAATGCGTACGTTCTTAGTATTGGTATCTAACTCGCTGGATCAAAGATGGATGAAGAAGTATGCATCGTACATGATCTTTGTGTATAATGCATCTTGACTATGTGTATTTTTATTCATCTTTTAATTCCATCTAAGTGGTTAGCCCTATGTCGCCTATCCATTTACATATGAGAAACTCTACTGTTATTGATTTTGACAACATCTTACACACATGAGCACAATATTGCGGGTTCAGTGTCAATAACACTTGATTCCTGTTCAAACGTATGAAACTAACGTGAATAGTTGCATAATCCACTTCAATCTTATTGCTATTTGTAGAGTTCACATTAAATAATAATCAAATAAGTGGTACGCTTGTCGGATTCTCGCAACCTTAAAGGACCTTTTGGGAACGGTTATGTCTATAGAATCTTTTTTGGACTTATTGAACCTTTGGTTGCCTGAGGGCCGTCTATCCTATAGCCTGGAAAATGCCAAATTGTTGAGCTAAGGAGAGGAAACGAGAGTTTTGGCCCCTCCTTTTACTCGGATATTGCCTTGCACATCTCTTCTCTTCACTCGATCGGGCTCTCTTCCTGTACTCATTGCATAAGAATTATTTTAGCTCATTAGCTCGACAAAATTTTCTGCAGTAATCGTGTTACTTGAAGAAACTTCATACGGCATAACATCGACGGAAGACAGCTTCTATTGTTGTTTTGAAAAAAAATAATTCTACAACCTTCAGCTTTTTATACGGTTGGGACATGACCTACTTATACTTTAGAGAAAAGAGAAACTATTTCCAACTTGCTATGGGGGGTTTTCTTTCCTGAGATTAGATGCTTACTAGCTTTCGCTAATATTTTTAGTTCTAGATTTCTAAATAAAGAAGAAAATCTAGGATAGTTAGAATTTCTAAGATCACGAAAGTCTTCTAAACTCTAGATATAAACCAGGATACTCTTAAGAGCTTTGTAAAATATGAAATTATCTGCATATCGATCACGCATATCTGCACGTGTGTCGGAAATCCCCCTCTACAATGGCTGATATCTTGTCGTCATTTTTTCTTTATCAAGATATTAGAGTTTTTGTTATTCGGTGTGATGATAAAACCAGTTTATTTTTCTGCCTCCCGCAAAACCCGTAAATTTCTGATCACCTTCTTAGGAAACAATTTTTTTCTTGCTCCTAAAACTGTTCTCCATATACTTGACTGTATGAAAGTCTATCAAACTGGTTTAAATACACTTTCCACCTTATAGAACACTTTATTTTAAATAAAACTATTGGTTTACTTTACACAAAACACTAACAAGTGCAATCTATGTTAGACGAATTTTAAATTGTAGCTTTACTATTAGGACCTAGCATTTAAGATATGCTTATGAAATAATGAATGTGAATATAGACGATTTCCTCAATCCACAACCCGTTACATAAAATTTTGTAAGCCTCATTAGAACAAATCTATTAAAAATTGCAAAAAAATAAGTTTTTTCAAAAGATTATATGGAAAAAATTAATCAATATTATGTATGAAATTTCCTTCTAATGAAAAAACTTTATAGGAAAGAAATTTCCTTCTTAAAACAGCGGAGGTAGTAATTTAGGGTTTAGTACATGGGTTTAGTAACATGAAAAAAAAAAACTCTACAAGTCCTTTTTCAGTATATACAACACATAAAGTACCTTGCGTAATTGTTGCATAGAGTTATGGCTAAGATGGAACCCGCTAGTGTATATCAACTACTGATTTGAAGGTAAGCTTTTAGAAACATTCGGACAACAAAAGTCAAGTAAGTCTACAAGGAGATTTGGATGCAAAGAAAGTAGAAAACTGCAAGTCTGATACATCCAAATCGAAAGAAACCATAAAACATGGAAAAATGGATAGAAAGGCATCATCAAACAGTTTATGGATGAAAGCAAAGGGATCAATTGTGGTGTCACCGTGGGACACATACAAGTGCACCCACCGTAGGACACTTATTAGTTAAGCTAAGGAGAAATTGTTTTAAAAATAAAATAAAAAAAGAACTGACTCTGAGTAGGAAGGCGCATGTGAACTGCCGCACGTTACAAGCAGTGGGTGAACTGTTCCGGAGTGAGGAGGTGCGGACAGGCAGGAGGGTCAAGGGAGGGCGATGAGGACTTGGAATAATGGAGAATAATGGAGAAGACAGAGCTTGATAACGCAGGACAGGACTCTTTCTGATTCATAGAGCTATGGAAGAAAAAAGAGTTGAAGCAAAAGCACAAAGTTGAACAACTGTCGAACAATACAGCGAACAATGATGAATGGAAATGGAGATGATAAGTTATATCACAGCGTCCCTAAGACCTCCTCCATTATACAATTATAATCAGCATCGAGATAGTCGAGAGTATTTATTTCCAAGAAAAGAACTAAACTTCCGGACAGGCTACATTTACATTCGCACAATGGAATATGACTTCTGAAATCACACCAACAAACGTGGAAGCAGATAATGAGTCCGAAAAGCACATCAAAGGAAAAGCACATCAAAGGAAGCCGCTGCTGAGAAAAAATTTTCTCTCTCTCTCTCTTTCTTTCTTTCTCTCTCTCTCTCTCTCTCATCTCATTGCAATGACAAGTTACAGACCGAAATGTGATAATCAATGTCCTGATCAAACTTGCGATGCCTATGTTGCTGATGCGTGCTTTATTGGAAAAATGTTGGCCACCGATTTCTCGCATCAAAATCATTCCTTCCTCTCTCTCTCTCTCTGCTTCCATGGCACGTTACCCTTCGAACCACGATCCACGTTTGGAGTATAATCTCTCCAACTGATTGTGGAGGGTCTGAAAATGTGCTCAACACGAGGATCTTTTCTCTTATTCCCTCGCATCAGCAAGTCAAAGGTTGTGCCAACTGGGACAACGACGTATCTTCTTCCAGTAATCATAAGTGTTCATGGAATCAGGAAATCAAAGCAAGCTACAAGTGAGGTCGTGATGTACACCTAATCCCCATGCCCTCCACTTAGAGGTATCTATGGTTTAGGGTTTTTCCATCCACAGCCTTCAAGCTTCAAAGCTCAATCAAAGTAGAACTCGCCTTCAAAATATTTTTAAAAAGATGAAACTTTGCATTGCTAACTCAAAACACAATCGTCTCTAAATTCTCAACATAAATCACAATCCTTTCATCTCCAACTGAAGAACCTCGAGGCCTACTATTGTTGCTCCCTCCAGGCTTGAGCTCACTTCGTAAAGGGACAGATTTACCATGACTTTTCAGGAGCTCCGTCAAAGCGCTCCATCGCGTCAGAAGGAGCACCAACAAGTGGAGATATCAAAGAATGCTCTTGAGGCTTCGAAAAACTAGCCAGAAGACTTTCTGCGTCCCAATTTTGGGTTAATTCCCAAGCTGATGATGAGGATTGAACTTACTCAATAAATCCTCGGAGAAAAAATGAAGGAATCTTGGAGCTCCGTGGAAGTTGCGATCCGGAGGTTTGGGAAGAAAAGACAGAATCTAGACGGCGACATAATCTAGATACAGAAAAACTCGTGCCTGTCGAACAGTTGTTACCTGCCTCGAGGGGCAAATGTGGTAGACTGAAGAGCTCTGTAAGCTACTGACATGGACCTGGAATCCATGTGCTTTTAAAGCCTGTTGCCTGGGTCTGTAGCAGCGCTATGGACTAGGGATCAGGAATCTTGGGTGAAGTGTTTGAGGTCTACTGAGATGTAAACAAACAAAACGCGCACATGGATCGATGGAAAGGAATGTTTCCGGAGCAAATGTCAACAGACCTCCTTCGCAGAGAGACGAAACCATCCATAAAACTTTTTGGCCTATGCTTCAGTGGAAAGCCATTGTAATCAGAAGTTATCGAGCGTCTACGACTTACTCGGTCTACAAAAGACGACGGAATGGTAGTCAGGTTCCCGGACACGACATGGTGCACACTTTTCGATCCCAGCTTTCAGTTTCACACTGGGTAGCATGTGCCTGTGAGCATGGAAGTAGAGATGTAGCATGACCTTCAAGAAGAATCAACAGCTCCACTATTCTGCAACTTAAAAGACAAGCCTTTTCCCGCCTCCATTACAAAAGAGAGTTCAGTGACAACAGTCGGTTGGAATTGACCGATTCTGGTCAAGAACAGTTCAAATTCAGCCCAAAAGTACCCTCGACAGTTGTAAAGGTGTGGGACGACTGTAGAGCGCCGCTGATGCTTAAAGACTGTCACATAGACCTGTAATCCTACGGCAATCTAGGAACAACCCCGATCAAAACTACGTCGAGTGTTCTCGACAGCATTAATAGAATCGTACTAAGATATTTGAGGATAGGCCAAGCTACTATTCACCCCACCATAGATAAACCAATTTAACGTTTGAGCTTTCGCTGCTTGGAACTTGCAGAAGTGACCCTTCAGAGTCGGCACACACGTGATGAAGCCTGACCTCGTGGAATCAATAGGGTGTATATGTAGTCAGTTGTTTAGCATGAAGATTTTGACAAATACTGAAATAGGTGAAAAAAAGACATGTCCAAGCAGTTTACAGCTAGAGAATGAATCTTAGGACAGCAATAAAAATGCTACAGCTGACATCGTGTACACGACAAATGTGTCTCTTATCGAGCACAATGACTTATTTCGTCCACATGTCAACGGGCTCGGCATACTCTCCAGGAGGTCCATCCACTAGAGGGTACGCACCAGCTCTGTCTCATGAGATCGTCTTGATTATTACAGTGAATGATTTCAGATTCTTGATTCGTATTTCAGAGTACTAATGCAGGACGTAAGGAATGCGTAGAATTGAACATCAGCTTGGCTGTACTGCAGTTCACAGAATGAAATCCATGGCGGCGATCCATATGACTAGACAATTCCAGAAAAGGAGCAGTAAGCTCCTTCCTTGGGCATATACAAAAGGGAATTCAGGAAAAGTTGCAACATCCAGACGGTCGTTGAATCTGGGCTGGGCGATAGCACTCCAGAAAACCACGGGGTACAGGTTGTATCATTATGACATTCGATCTAAATATAACGTGTAGAATATAGGCATTTTGTATCGTCCTTTTGATGATAATTTTCCTGCTTTTCTAGCAAGTATCCCGAAACACTATTGGTCAAATGCCACACAAAACTTCCTCGTCTTCCCATACCAGAGCCATATTCCTTTCGAAGTCACCACCTTTGTAACCATACTGTAGCATCTGCATCGAAGGAAGCTCTTCCCTGGTCGATGGAGAGGAACCGTAACTACGGTAAACATCATAAAAGCCTCTTGAAGCACTCCCGCCTGATATCATACCATGTACCACAAAGATAGTAAGACATTTTTGCCCTCACAGCTCTACTTTCCAGTTACCAGATCAGCAGCAAACACTCCAGCAGACATGACTGCTAAGCATTTATCGTAAGCAGAATCACAAACAACTAGAACATTACACGCTGAACTTAAAACTCGAGTCTATGAATACCAAAGTTGCCAAAATGCCTACTTCTTGATTCTTGACCCGCAACACAGTAACAAGTTACGACGATGAACATCTCATCATTAGGCCGTAGAAGTTTCCCATGCCTCCTTGTAGAAGTCTCATGAGAGTGCTGGTTTCCATGACTTGAGCTTACTTCCCTTCTGTCGAGACTGATCTTGATATTCCGGATTGAAGGCGGTTGGAAATAATTTCAGCAAGATCAATTTAAGGCTCATTCACAGCGATAGAGTTTGTTCAAACGCAGCCTTTCTCAAGACCTGCCAGACGCAGCTCCACCTGTACAGCAGTTCAAGTGAAGAAAGGGCTGAGCTTCTCTTGAAAATCACAGTTGCTAGTTCTACAGTGCCCTCGTCGCCAATCGTTCGAACTTCCAGCCAAACTTCCAGCCAAGGGCGACAAGTAAAGAATGTTATCCTTCCTTCTCTTGGCCTACACTGATCGTCTTGACAAGAACGAGATCGCTGTAACTATCTCTTGTTCCGACTTTCAATTCTAGACATCTTCCTCTCTCTCCGCCGTTGCCTTCTCTTTTCCTCATCACTACTGCTCATGCCCTGATCATCGTCACTCTCGCCAGAGGAACCGTCTTTCCTACCACCACGCTCATTCCTAACTGTTTTCCTCGGGTCTCCCTTCCTCAACTTCTTACGATCGCTATACTTGAATTTCCTTCTTTGATCCTCCTCGCCATCATCAGGACTGAGCTTTACTTTCAGGCTCCCGTCACTTCTATCGACCCTACTCATGTCCCTATGCTTTTTCCTTCCTAAATCCTCATCCTCGTCACTCTCGTCAGAAAAAGCCTTTGTCTTCCGCCTATCTTCGCGTTTACCTGCCCTTCTCTTCCGCAAATGCCTTTTCCTTCTTTGATACTCGTCGCTGCTAGGACTGTAGTCACTACTATCAGAGTAAACCTCTCGCTTGTTATCGCTATCGCTTCGATTTGAGTGTTTCCTTGTCCGGCGCCTTCGGCCTCTCTGGTCCGCGTGAGTGCCGTGCCTTCTCTGCTCATCGCCACTACCATCGGAGGTCCGTTCTCTTTTTCGAGCACCGTCGGTTTTAGAGACGCTTTTCTTGTCCCGACGCATCTTCCTTCTCTGGTCCTCGTCGTCGCTGCTGTGTACTTTCTTCTCGTAATCACTCTCGGGAGAAGATTCTTCCTTTCGCCGCCTACTGCCACGAATGGCCCGTCTTCTCTTCTCCCTATGCCTCCTCCTCTGCTCCTCACCATTGCTGTGATTCATCCCGTTCTCCTCGTCCTCACTCCTTAAAGGGGAAGGAGGCTCTGCTTTGAGATCATGTTCATGCTTGGCAGACCTTCTCCTGTCTCGATTGCTTTGCCTGATCTGCCCCTCGTCACTGTTGTCGTGCTTCTCCCCGTGTCTGTGCTTCTTCTTCTTCTTCTTCTTGGGCCGCTTCTTATCCTTGACGTCGATATTCGGATCTGTCAGCTCTCTCCGTTGCTCCTTCGAGAGGGAGGCTAGAACATTCGGGATACTGAGCCCTTCGTCCTCACCCTCGCCTGCTAGAAACCCTCCATATTCATCGTATATATCTTCATCTGGGATGATTTGCTGGTTGGGATCATCAGGCCTGAATCCACCCCTGGCCGGACTCAACCCTCCAGGCTGCTGCTTCAGTTCCCACTTGAGAGGCTCACCGGATGCCGTTTGGGCCAGTATGACATTCAAGGGATCCTCCCGCTTCAGGCGGTCCTCTTCGTTCGGCATCAATATATCCTTCAATGAGCACTCTCGGTCCCCACTTTGATGCCCGAAAGCTCCACATCTTGCACACATGACGTTCCGGATTTCGATTGCAAATGGCTTTAATCGAACGGGAGCACCCGTCTCCAGTCTCGGAGCATTCTTCAAAGCGGGGAATTCCTCCTCGGTGGGGAGAGTCCTGCCGAAAACATCCTTGACACGGGCCTTCGCACCTTCTTTTCCACTAGTGCTCGCATTTCCCTGTGCAGCTCCCTGATCGGGCGCACCGGACGAGCTTGTGGTTAAACCCAGCTTCTTCCTTTCATCCGCAATTTCTGCAGCTCGTGCGGCCTCTGCGTTGTAGCCTGGAGGTCTGATGTACATGAAGCTCACAGCTTGCAGTTGCTCCATCTTCTCCTTTTCCTTTTTCGTCATTTGCGCCGTCTGTCGAAAAAATTCCTGTTCCTGCGCAAACTCGCGGGCAACATCCGCAACTTGCTGCTCGCGCTGTGCATGAGTCTGCTCTGCAATCCATTTGCGCCTCTGATTCGGGTAGGATAAAGGATGCCATGGCTTCTGGTTCAGATAGGAATGACTCCATGCCGTACCCGATTTTTGCTTGTACTCAACCTCCTGCCTACTCAGATTCTTGTCTTTCTTCATCTCAGAAGCACATATTATGGGTCAACCCTCGAATGAGATGATCCCCACAAACCTGCAGAAATTCACGTCAAAAGGGGTCAGCGACGTCTAAACCCTGACATGCCCTTCGAAGGCAGTCACCCGATACTAAATCCAAGGATACCTTCCCGATTATCAAATATGAAACCTCCAGTACCCTCCGCCGAGTATCAACACTGGGACGCAGGCAGGTGTGCCCACATGTATACTCGGGACGCCCATCCCCCTTCCCTCTCCTTCTCTTTTCCTGAGGCTTGGGGCGATGAGACATCGCTTGTCGCACTAAGGGGTGATCTACCTGTTCCCAAATCTACCTGTGAATATGTTTACGAGGATAACAGGTTCATACTTGGATATTGAACCAACTTCACTTATTGCCACGCTTGCTGGTGTACTCTTGTGTTCATTCTAGAAAGAGCAATGCCCGATGATGGATCCACACCGAAGCAATCAACACGACATTTTTTAGTTGCATATCTACCCTAAGATGTGGCGATCATGTCTCCTGTCTAACTCTTCACTTTCAAGGGCAAAGGAAGCCGTTGACAAAGAAGCAATGTTTGCCCTAGGACTGACCTTTCCTGAACTGGGAGATACACAATTGCAGAACAAAACACAAAACAAGAGTTCTACAAACTTTTCCAATTGCTCCGGGTCTACGAAACTGCAGAGCGCTCTGCCTGGATCCTAAAAAAGAAGAAGAAAAATCCTCCTTCTGGACTAAACGTTCTCTTGTACTTTCTCACTCTTCCTCAGTTAGCCAGATGATTTCCCCTTGTGACAGTAAACGCTTCCAAGGAGCATGGATATCCTCATTCTGTATATCAAACTCTAATCCCCGATCACTCTCAAATGGACACTTCAAAAAATTTCTCCAACAGCAGAAACCAGGGATTTTGTTCCTCTCTTCATCGTGAAATTCGCGCTCATATTAAAAAAATAACACATTATATGCGAACTAACCAAAACTGGATAAAACATTGGACCGTAAGAACTAACCTAAATAAAAAAGAAAACACAGAAATTCTCATTCAATCCCTGTTGCGATGTTTTTCAGAACTAAACCACATCAGAGAACACACAATACCGGTATCTCGATAATATATTCGCGGTGTTGTCGCAAGTCTTCACAATGAACACTCTCATCATCCCAAAAGCGAGGTTTATATATCAAATTTTCTGATGACTACTCACAGCAATCGAATCAGTTTCAGGCTAGGGTTAAAATTGTAATTATTCAAAATTTTGACTGACGAGGTTGAAAAAATGTGATGTTCAATTCAAACAATAGTCCAATATGTGACCTCACTCAATAAAGAACTCGATGACACATATCTGGAGGACGAATTAAAAAGTAAGCTCCGATATCACATTACCACAGCCAGAGCTCCTTAGTCAAAGGAAGCCCTCAATCGAGACAGTTGGAGCAAATCTGAACATACCATGAACGACGATGCATGAGTCTGTCTGAGTCATGGCCGGCGTAATCCGCCTGTCCTGCACGAAACCCCATCTCCAAGCCAAGGTTGTGGCCGTGTGGTTCACGAAACCACCCGAAAACCAGCCAGCCCCTCCCGTCGATTTGCGCCAGCCATTCGCCAACATCGTGGGGTTCCACAGATGACGTTGGGCGTCAAATTCCGCATCTTTTAGAGTGAAGCCGCATCAGTGAAGTGGCAGCTGCTTGCTCCATTCAATCATCGTACTGAATGAGTTCCCCCTACTCCATTCTCTGCACATTTTCCAATCCTATCCGACGAGGACCGGGATACAGCGCTGGAAATATGCCATCGCAGGCGGTACAGAGCTTGAAGCGCCATATCACAACCGCGACGCGACGTGCTTGCCCGCGTCGTCGTGTCTTGTTGTAATTTGTAGCGAGAAGGAAAAACATAATCTTCCACGTGGAAAATTCAAGCAACATAATTTGGTAAGTTTGTGATACAGTAGTGGGAATAGAAAGATCGAAAGTCCTGAAAATACAATATTATGTTTTTTGACAAACATTTATTTATAATTGGTTTAAAATATTTTGTTCCCTGCAATACTCTATAAGGAAATGGAAATTAATGGGAATTTACTCTTCAAGGAGTTTCACCATCCGTTTAAAAAGTTTATGTGGATAAATTATGAAGTCACTTGATATACTTCAGTCGTTGATTCACACATATCTTGAAAAGGTTTGTCGTTAATATTGGATTAAACTCATTCTCGTTGATATATTCAGAAAACAATCACATGTCATTTTAACGATTTCTTTCAAAAATCTCGCAATTTTTAACATAGCCGAAGTCAAATGGGCTGTTTTTGCGTTTTTAAAAGTTGCATAAACAATTTTGCGCAAATTTTTGTTCTTGTTGTAGTAAATGAACCATTGCTTCCTTAAAACCTACATTGATTACTCACTTTGGTAAATACATTGGCAGTATCAAGCTTTCAACAAATTTGGTCAAAATTATTACAAAATCAACATATGTAAAATTATACGTTAATAATTTTGAAATGCTTCACTTTATCAATGTTCATCTACATTTTTTCTATATGAAGCATATCATGATAATGGAAGGTTCAGTCTTATCAAATGGACCGTCCATTTCAATAATGAACATGAATTATAACTTCAGTGTTTTAATTGATGAATATTTTTGCAAAGTATTGAACTTCTATATATGAGAGGAAGGTACACTCTAAACTGTATCTTTACCTAATGCATCACCAAGCAATGGTGAATATATATCGAGTTTAAATCTCTTGTTGCGTTAACCAATATTCACATCGCTCTGAACCCGCATGACATTGACTTATTTCCAATTGAACAATGATTCGTGTTTAGTATAGTACCTTCAGATACCACTTCGTTTTTTCTGTATGCCTTTTGCCTTTATGTGATATACATATGTTCAAGTTCCTACAAAGTAACCTAAATCTAGTGGAAAATACGGAATTCACGAGATGACCATTATTCTCATAGGAAATCTAAAACATACCATTTTTTTCATCGCTATTTTTTGGATTAAAAGATACATACTACTGAAGATAAGCAGCTAAATGAGTACTCGGAAATTACATTTTATCATGTTTTTACTAAGACAACTAGTTCTCTTGCATCAGCCACTCCTTTCCTACCTTTTGGAAATAACTCCATGTCCAAGATCTGTTTGGCTAAACCTGAATCCATCAATTGAAACGTTCCAAGCCAATTTACCCTTTACGCTAATAACATCGAGATTCTTATCAACATGGAAAATAGACAGTTCTGTCGTAAGCAGTATCTTCGATATGAACATTCAGCTGATCCCACGTTTACAACACATTCACCTCCCCAGCATTACATATGAAAGGACACTCAGGTGACATCAATGTCTTCACAGGAGCAACATACTTATTTCATATGTTGATCCTGAAAATATGTGAAAACCGTTGTAGTTTGGACGAGCAATAAGAAAAATTTTATACGAATTTGGGAAACATTTTTCGAGAGTATATCAACAGGCTCGCTATAACTGCTCGCTAATCGTCGCTTTGACCCCCTAGCGAAAGATGTGCTCCTCATGAACTCTTCTAAGCACCCAAATAAGTCAAATGATCGGTTTGATAGCAGCCTGTGGCGTACAACCGTTGCCTAACAAGAAATTCTACAGAGCCCAACTTGGAAGAGGACATTCATAACTCCAAGAAGCGCTGGCATAACGAACACAATGCAACCACAATCCTTCATCATCTTGTTTGTACCTGCCAGATAAAATAACAGTTGTTGTTAAGCTCTTCAACCTCACGTGAATGTAGTTACGAAAACTCCAACAATGCATGTAGGATGTTTCTGAGAGAAGAGTATCTATGTGGTGGGAGACCACATCATCCTTCTGACATGTAGTACTCAGAAAGTCAGTCAGAAGCCCAGATACATGTGAATGAATGTAAAGATGCTTATTATGAACAAGATGTGTTCGATTAAGCAGATTTTCCAGTTAAATTGAAGAATACACTCACCCAGAGGGTCCCAAACTGGGACAATGTGTGCACAAATGATCCAGCACAAAAGGCTGTGAACTGCTCTTAGGAGGATCACTCTCCATTACAGCCTCAGGATGAATTTCAGTGGTCTTAATCTTGCCTTCTTCACAATTGGATTCTGCAAGGTCATCAGGAGTACTCGTATGCTCGACAGAATGACAATCTGAAACCAGATCTGTTAGACAGGACACGACCGACTGCGTTCCCCCTCCAACACCTTGATTTTCAAGTTGGCGATCAGTCTTCTTCCTGGCATGACCTGATGACGCTTCTGAGTAAAGTGGAGTATGAGTATCTTCTGTAATATGAATCTTTCTGCAAGCAGTTATATTTACTCCGGAATCGTTGTCTTTCGAAAGGTCATTTGAGACAGATCTGGCTTTTCTGGCAGCTGTGTCAGCCGTGGTCTCTTCCAAAGTTCGCTTTGGAGGATGAACTTGCAGGTAAAGATAATCATTTGCAATGGGGTGGCCAAGATGTTGTAGATGAACTCGGATCTGTTACATACAGCCAAGAAGATTTTTATCCAAGGAACTGCTTTGGCTTGTATTGATCATTTTTTTTGCTACTAAACATGGAAGTTACATAATATAGTTCTAATAGTGGCGGTTACTGTGCTTCATGCGAGGGGAAGACTGATATGAATATAAATCATGCTGAGAAACCAATAAAGAATCATCGTCAGTGATTAGTACCCGTAATTACCTGATGAGTGCGACCAGTGACAGGTTCGCAGCGAACAATGCTGTGCAAACCATCAGTACTCAGCCTTTGAAACTTTGTGCACGCCTCCTTGCCTTTATTATCTTTCTCAGTTGTTGTCTGAAAAACAAACTCGTGAGAATCTAGGACAGATGTTACTTGACCAGACATTATGGGAAGCATTTCGACCAAATAAAAATCTCTTGACAAAGAGATAAGGAGCACTGATAGGAACAGCTTCAATAATCAAGAGGACCAAAATGAAAGCAAGGAATAGAAGAGCCAACGACTCCAATTATCAGATATTGAAGAAGACCATAGACCCACGCCCTGCCTGGAAGTTTGGTAGTTACTGAGGTATAAGAAGAATGAGGAAAGGAGGGGGGACTATCAGAGAGGGGAAAGACTTCCTCATATTTTAGGTACTACAACTTGCACCCGATGATTAAGCGAAAACTCGTAAGGCGAGTGCATCAAAATTTCAGGCACCAGCCGGGGGAAATTAAAACAGGGGAAGATGGCTCAGTGACGCAGAAAGAGACCATACTGCGATAAGTCCACTCTATACAAAGTTGACAGTCCACCTACAGCGCACCTCCCTGAATGAACGTTTCAAAAAAAGTTATCTCTTGAATTGTTTATCACGGGATGTGTAGATCAATCAGACGCGAAAGACACTATCTTCTTTACGTGAAAGCTTTCCTTGAAATCACCACACGTTTGTTGAAAGAAAGTCCCTTGTAAAGTGGGAAGTAACCCACAATGATGCTGAACTTCCAGCTGTCTACAACAGAATCATGAACACATCTTACGAAATCATTGGTACAACGTGCTAATCAGTAGCAGCTTTCTACTTTGAATCTAGGCTATTGTAGATAGCGAGCAACCCTGGTTCAACCAGTGTAAAGATGTGGTGCATAAAGTTCACTATGCGTGGCAAACATTCGCAAGAAACCAAGAAGCAGACTGTAGTTTCAACCCCCACTCCACACACTGAGCACGTGATTGACCGCTTCACTGCATCTTCTTGTGGACAGGGGAGAACACCTGACCCTCTAGAGTAGAGTGTGGTAAGAAGACAAAGGCAGTTGGAACACCTTCCACCTCCTTTCTCAATGAAAAGTGGACAAGTTTAAGAATTTGTAAAAGTTTTACCTCAACTCTACAAGTACTAATGCCTTCCCTCGCATCATATGTCACAGCTGCATGGAGCGCCACCTACAACCACAAAGGTTTTGCTTGTTACAATTGAAAAGGGCGCCAAAACACTGATCAATCTTGATGGCGTATTGTTCAAAACCCTATGAACGCATGAACGGCTGACTGTGGACAACTGAAGCTATGAAAATATTGTCTCAGGTCTTAAGGTGCAGAACAGAAACAAGCATTTTCTTTATATGTGAGAAGATCAAAACATGCACTCATCTGACTTTACGAAACATGTGGGTAAATTTTACCGTCAGTTAGGCGCAGCTAAGACAAGACACCATCAGAGGTAATATTAATATCTATAATAGTCTTACACTAAACCAGCATGGATTTCAACAGAGGGAGTTTGATCACTGTTTCAGGAACCTCGTGTGCAGGAAAGACTCCCTTCACTTTAGCCACATACTGCTTGTGGACTCTTCCTCCTTCAATCTGTCAGCAGCAATCGTCCATATAGCCTTACATTAAACAAAGTGCCCAATCTGTGTATAGATACATTAAACGACGCAGAATGATCAGAGAAGGCATCGTCCTTGGTTTACAAAAAAGTTTCCAAACCATTCAAGGAAATCAAGGAAGTGCTGGGCGAAGGTGTAATCAAACTTGTCATCGTATAAGTTGTATAGAGAACCCCAAACAAAACCACAAACTTTAACTGCATATAATTAGATTGACTGAGAGAGGGTCATAAAGCAACCTCCTGTCGAAATTCATCTGCCGTCTTGGCATTCCTCGCTAATATAAGAAGACCTGATACCAGTCGATCCAACCTATGTATAGCTGATGGCAGTTGAGGTGAAAAATAGTCCAAAGACTGTTCAGACATCCATTAATCAGGCCCCTGGTCGTGCGATAGATCCAACATCACCATCCAAATTGTACGCACAAAACATACGGGAACTTCTAACCATGATTCAATGCTTGCTATAAGAAAATACTAAGTAGGATACGGAACAGTTGCCCAGTTTTATGTTCTGCCTCCAAAATACCAACAACAGTGTTCTTTCGGTATTGACCACATGGATGTACCTGCATCATATGAAGTGGCTGTCACCTTTTTGCAGCAAGATATGAAGACACATAGCAGGTCTGTCCACATAAGCTAACATAGACTGGGAAAATAAGGTCGATTCCTCAATCAGTATCGCTCCATTTTTCAACATTAGACAAGAGTTCAAGATTTTCACAGATCTTACTGGAACAGATGCTGGCTTAATTACAGTGATAACATCCGCCGTTTTTTCCAATACTGTGACGGGCTCCGCCAGGACAGGTGGCTCGTGTCTGCATGTTTAAAGACAACGGAAAATGTTCCTTGTTAAGACTCAACAAGAGATACTAATCAGACTCTCTCTAATCTCTATCGTTAGCTCCCGACCTCACGAATGACGTAGAAGTTGATGTCAGTCGATTAGATAATTTTACTCTCCTCTGCGAGGCTCAGAAACACATCAGAGCCGAGTAGTACATTGTCACCATTATAAAGTATCGCAGATCTACTCAACAGAGGGAACCTGTCATGGCTGCATTCTGAGTTGTGTCACCACTGACTCATAAACCTCTCCAAAGCCAGACACCTTGACAGCCGAACAATGGATGAAATAGAGCAAATCTACAACAGGAGCACCCAGGGCCTCAAAAGTGAACATACAAACTAGCATTGACTTGTATGATATTTCCCTACAAGAAACTCCTATTATAGGCATAAATTATACCTGTGTACGAAGTGGCTGATTTTATCAGAATCACGAACAACATATAAGGGTGTTACTCTCATCCCGCCAACTCTAAGACGGCCGCGCTGTACTGCTTGAATCTGCAACAACGTTGGCGAATACGTCAACGACTGACTTGATGGTTATCCTTTCACCATAACTGGGAGGATACCATCTTCTTCCCCAGAATACTAATCGAAATACAAGATTCCATTCTCAGAAAAACCTGCATTACATAATATGCCTAGACGCTTAATTAAGGATGTTGATGCCCCAGCTGCAATGTAGTGGAACATGCGCTTTTCAATACTGTGACGCTACGATATCCTTTCCTATTGGCGGTATACATTCCTTGAATTAAAGCATATCCAGAAAGCAATAAATCAACTGACATAATATTCCCGTGGTCGTTGCCTGAATTCTCCTGAAAAGAGATCCACAATTGTCTTTCCTGCCCATCTTTTCTTCACCTGCAAAACAAACATGAGGAAAAAGATATCAAATCGGAAACTTCAGAATACCACAAGTTTTGGGGCAGATCTTCAGGATTAATCTCAAACATAAGATTTCAGAAGACTGGGGAACAAGTACGACGTGATCAGATTGCATTGATGCTCAAGCGGTAGTGAAAGGACCAATGGACCACTTGTTAGTCAGGATCCACAGACATGATAAAGTAGGCAGGAAAATAAGCTCGGAGGAATGAAACTCACGTGGCATATGAATTCAAAAAAATAAGGTCGCACCATGCGCTTGCCTGCCACAAGAACCACAGTCAGAGACAGTCTTCCTCCAGACTGTCACTCGAAAGCTGCACGTCCGCACAAAGCTCATGACCCTTGACAGACGAAAAGTTCTAACTACACTTACTTCCAGCTGACAACTAACATGAGCACATTGTCTCGGAGAATTCACATAAGCGACGTGCACAACGGATTCGTTACAAATTCGATAATCAAGGTTTTAGAATTGAGGAGAAATATCCTTGTGAACGTAGACTTCGAACTGGCTATACAGTTTTGAAAGTCTCGGCAACGCCAGACTAAATTAGCAAACAACCACGCACGAAGGAAGACAACCCTATCAACCCGAATGGCAAGAATGAATCGTTGTGAAAAACAAGGTGATCGGACTTCTCTAGTAATTGCAGCTACTTGCGGCATTGAGAAAACAGAATTTGAAGGGCAAGTCACAAATTTAAACAAGGACCTTTCACAAATACATAATCGTCGACGTTTGCTGGAGTGTCCGGATTCTCCCACACAATACTCTCATCTCCTTGCTGCTCCGCGGAATCCATAGCTTCGGTCATTCAGAAAACAATCCCAGAACTGTTAACCCTACGGTACAAGCTGCACCGGCTACGAGGAGCAGCAAATTACAGAATCGAGCTCAAAGCTGACATGTCAGATCCCGCTTTTGTTTTATCCTGTTTGCATTGCCATTCGCTTCCTCGAGAACTGCTGAAACACGCACAATGTGGTCATCATGCAAAGTGAAGGTACCGAGATTCGAACCGAAAATCGTTCAGAGCGCGCAGAGAAGGTACAGCATCGGTAAAAGGAGCAGCAGGTTGCAAGAAATTCCTGTAGCATGAGCAAGTCGCCAGTGCAGTACAGTTGACATTACGCCCGACACAAGCTTTCACTTCTGCTTCATGATCGAGTACTATTTGCTGATATCAGACAAACTGTCCTCCCACTACTTCTCTGAGGTTCAGCCTGACAGAGCTCAAGTTTCTCGGCATTCTTTCCGTTGACCATTTTGTGTCGGTGCTTGCGAATTAGGGACTTTCCTTATCGTTAGAAACTCAGAGTCGAGGAGAACATAAACGTTGGTTCCGGTCTTCATGTTGCCGCATTCTCATTTGGGTAAGTACTGAACGTTGCTTATACGATTGAATCAACGTCCCGATGCTTCCATTCATAGAATAAGATTGTAAAGAGCATGGTCAAGGGGCCCAATGGTAGCAAAATGAGATGAAGAACCTTCAACCACTACAAGGAAAAAACTAGACTAAACTAATGGCTAGGCTGAAAAGCTTTACAATGTGTATCTGAGCTATGATGATAAAACTTTTTACACATTAAGAAACTATCACAGTAATTGCTCACATGTGTAGAGCTATTTTTCTCTATAGCAATAAGATAGGGATACATAAAAGTTTTTTCATACACATTGGTAAATAAATAATACTAACATTCCTTTACTAGTATGGTTGTCTTTCATGCACTTTCTCACAAACATAATGATATCAATATCCATATTTACAACTTATTGTGAAATAAGAGTGACAAGAAGTTAAACTCTATGTAAGACCTTGCCTGCTAGAGCACCTTGGGCCAACTTTTTACTCCAAATTTGTATCCCTACCCTGCTATCCAAATTGCTTTCAAAACTTGTGAAATGTGTATTGAAAGAGTTGACGATGAGTTTACATTACATTGTTAAACTATACATATATGAAAATACTCGATTGATGTCATCGGGCAATTTTTGTTTAGTTCTTTCTCGATAACATGTGCATTTAGTGAAGTAGAGCTAAATATTTCCATCTCAATAACACAATTGTAGGTAATATCTCAAGAACCTGTGTCTGGAAGATTCATTGGTGCAAGTATAATCTTCTCGCAATCCGTGGGTTCAACGCCAGCAACACTTGTCAAATTAATACATTGTGTTGATGTAAAACACAGGTTAGGATCCATGTCTCAAGTAATATTGAAGAGGATGGGTTCCAAATGGATACAAAACCATTTTGTATACATCTGGAAGTTACACCAATCCATATCCAACAGGAAACAATATTTAGCGTTGCCCGCCCATGAACAATACTGCGGAACTCATAGCCATTCGAAATCCATGGGCATCCAATGTTGAGCTCCGGACAAAACTCACCATGCATTATCACTTGTAATATTAGATAGGTACATTGTGTCTACTCGTAACGTGAGCAGCGTTTAAAGTTGGACGTGTTATGTGATATCTCCAATAGAAGGTTGGAGTACATGTTGGTATACCACATAAAAATTTTACCAAAAATAAAGTGAAGATATTATTCATGAACCATATAAGATAAATGTACTCTACTAAAGTTACGCTGGATCATAAATAAAAAATGAATGCTGATATCAACCTAATATATGATGATCTATCACAACCCCTCTCTCTCTCTCTATATATATATATACTAAACAAGAGTCAAGTTTTCAATTTGAATGATTTGATACCAATGGAATGGAGAGATCTCTTGCCAAAAAAACAACATTTGTTTAGGTATACTTTTGTATATAGTTTGAAGCATAATCACTCGAATGAATAGGAAGGTTTAAGGATTTCGACATGATTCAACCAATGCCACACGCTCGTCTGAAATGGTCAATAAGAAGTATCGTGTCACAGTACCATAGGACCCCATGAACAACGAGTGTCAAGAAATTGACCGGGCTCCATAGTTCTGCAATAACACATCCAACAAACCCTCGTTATCGTACTTGCTGCCTCATGAAAGTACAGCAGGTCCGGAGGATTCTGCCGAAATACAGCAGACTTGCATTTTACCTCATCGACAGAAAATCTCGAAAGCAAATACATCGTCACCATGAGGGTTCTCGCACAAAGAGAAGAGGCGGAAATGATCAAAAAGAGGGGTAAGTGAGGACGGTACAGCACAAAATCGAACGAAGTACACGGCTGTACGTACAGAAACGATCACACTGCCGCAGTCGCAGCGGAATGAATGACGATTAGGTGTGGAGATATTATACTTTCAGATGGCCGGAGTGCAGTCTGACCGCCGATATGAATTCCGACATCATGTGCCTTGAGAGTTGCATGGCCGGGGTTTCGCTAGCGGCAGCAAAGCATGCACAAACTAACTACAGACTAAATAAGCAAACAGGACATCCAACCCTCCCGATTTCTTTAAGTAAATATTATGCTTGCTACATGAGTCTGGAAACAATATTTTCCCCGAATAATAATATTAATCTTAATGCATAATTTCTTCAGTGAATCGTCTCTAATGCAGGAAGAAGACCGATTGTTAGTTCTCTTTGCTGTCTTTTATATCAGTGAGTGCCAGGTTTAGACCCTTCCACAAGATGAAAAATCTTCGAATTAATCGTACCAAAAGAGTGTACGATCGCCTACCATACGTGTCCGGTTTTCAGGAGAGGGTGTGCCGCACAGCCGGACGGCCGGACGGGCTGACTGGTGCACCGCGTGCGGCAGGTGGGGCCGTGCGTGGTTTGAGTTTCGTTGAGATTCATGACGATGGGATGGATGGCGCGATGTGGGATGTAGTTCGGGTAGGTGGGCAGCGGGGACTCATGCGATGGCATGTGATGGGGTGAAGGCATGCGATCCATGAAGGCCCGGGAGCCATCGCCGGGCATAATCATTGAGTGAGTTCAATGACTGGACAGAAGAGAGATTCCGGGCAGGCTCCGCCGTCCGATGGAAGCCATCGGACCATCGCCACGAGTCGTCGTTGGTAGTGATGCGCGACCTGACGACACGCGGCGCGAAGCCTTTGGCCTGACCCGTTGACGCTTTCCCGTGTCCTGCTCGCTGGTCTGAACGAAGCTGGTGGTGGTGAGTCGAACGTCGACGGAAGGAAGACGCCAAAGCTTTTCAAAGCCCACGAGGACGAGGACGAGGAGCAGGAGGAGCAGGACGACGACGAAGAAGAAGAAGAGGAAGAAGAGAATGAGCGAAGACAGCGGTGGCCAAAAAGTCGTCCCTCGCTCGAGTTGTTCTCCTCGTCGCCCACGACAGAGCGGGAAAATCCTGTCAAATTCCGCCCTCTGAAATTGCCACTTCCTTCGGAGGAGGAGCAGCGGGAGAAGGCAGTGAAAAAATTAAATTCTCTGCGCGGAGTATTCACCGCGTCTGCTCGGGCTCCTCATCTGGTTTCATGAGCAAGTTTGGTCTGTTCAATTCAAGTGTTTGCCAGTAGTATTTAGCGTGCATGTCTGTGCCAGTTTGAACTTGTAAGGTGGTCGAATTGATGCTCAAGGGCGCCGGTGACGGAAGAAGGGCTTCTGTATTCTTGAGGTTTGAGCTCGTCCGTCGGGACTACAAGTCACTGAGACTGGGAGAGGCTATTTTTAACGGGGTGGTTTAAGAACTCGCAGCGTTCCGGAATCGCGGGGAAAGTGTCCATTTTTATCCGTGCTGGGACTGGTTACAGTCTTAGCCTAATACGAACAACCCAAATTTACAACTTCAAATCTACGGGCCAACCGCCTTTTGTGTGGCCGAGGCTCTGTATTCGTGTTTACGCCCTCGCAATCCAGCAGGGAAAGTGTTTTCTCGAGGTGTAGCAGCCAGATGCTTGGATGAACTAGCTGACCACCGGGCGAGGTGGTGGATCATCCGGACGAGGCAGGTTCCGTCGAGATTACACGAGAAAAATTGATGGTGCAAAGGCTCGCCAAAACGGCGTTTCCAGGTTGCAATGCCGGTGGGAGATGTTCGGTGACGGCCATAATCTGGTCTCTAGCTGGATGGATCCTCTTGATTCAGGCTTACACGACTCTGTTTCCTGGGCAAACCCGGCTCATCGTTGAGCCGGAAGAGCAATGGCGGACTGTATCTACAATTCGCAGAGACCTCGAGGAGCAGGTGAAGGAAAAAGCTTCGGATAGCACTCGAGTACACGAGGAAGCTGTTTTGCAGCATGAGCTCACCGCCAAGCAACGATCCGCAGCCCAAGAAGCGGACAATAAAGCGAAACTTGCATTCTACTTCCCCGACAAGAGCACAGCGATCAATCCTTTGAAAGCAGATGATGTGGATAGGCAGGTGTTTTTCCCCGCGAGGGAATGGCGTGATACGGAAGGGCGACCAATTCAGGCTCATGGGGGTGGCGTATTGTACGTGAAGGAGACGAGAACGTATTACTGGTATGGGGAGAATAAGGATGGACGCACTTATCGTGTCAGCAGACGCTCTGTGGCTAGGGTAAGACGCTCATGACGTTTCCTCTCATCTAAAGCTTGTCATATTCTCCTCTGGGTGTGAATAGATCAGTTTTCAGTCCCGGCTTTGTGTACAGGATCCGTGCACAGAAAACTCCTTTTATATGAAAGCCCACCGTTCGGAACATGAAGAAGTACTTGTCCGATTGCGTGTTATACGGAGCGAAATCGGTTCGCTATTCTGAACCCTAAAATCAAGGACACTGCTAATCTGCTCCATCATCTTCATCATTCATCACCGTTTTAATCCTCTTCACCACCGAAATTATTCGTGTTCCAAGTCCAACCTGGTGTAGCGCTCATACCAGAGCATCACAACTGACTTGTTTAAACCTGTGGCATACCATCACGTTCACAATTTCAGCTTGCAGTTAGACAAGTTCTAGTGTCACATCCTTCACTTGACCTAGTACTGTAGAACTCGAACTTTGAAGGTTCTAGGGTTTTGCATAACTAATTAGTGAGCATCCACTCTATTCAACAAGTTACAATGATTAGAAGATTCTGCGTCTTTGATGATTGGTAATTAGCACCGCATATCCAGATTTCAGTAGATCACCGCGATTGATCAGTCGATTGTCAATTCGTTTCTTATCACCACCTATAGGCAGTGGTTAATCAATGCTCAGTCTTGCTTCTTAAGTCTTATCATCGTCATTGCGATCAGATGTAGAACAGTCTCCATCAAAGTTGTAGTCTGTACCCTAATTCTGCGAAGTAAAAGGCTCAACGTGGACGCTCCGTCAAACGGACCCTACGCAGCATGAGATGGCCCTCACCCACTCTGTGTGGAACAGCTCTTGGTCTGTTCCCTGCCACGAGTGTGAACACTATCACGTTCATGCTTTTGACCTTCTTAAGTCATTTGCTCCTCGTAAATCACGTGTTTCCTTCTCTCACCTGCGATCTTGACGCTTTTGACCAGCTAAGAAAAAAAACCTGGCGCAAAGTGGTGTGTACATTTGTTAGCTCGAAGCTGCCTTCCCAATGTCTAGCCTAATAATTAAGAACTCTTCCTGGGCCTCCCGAGCTTGGGGTATACGGAATGTTCATTGACCATAATCAGGACTTGTGATCGGTATCCACTTTAGACGATCAGCGAGTACCAGTTCATCGACTTATCGAGACCAGTGGTTACCTCGATACTGAAACATGTATCACACGTGTGCAGGTGGACGTAGTAGGTGTAAGCTGCTATTCATCAAAGGACTTATGGGCTTGGAAAAATGAAGGTCTTGTACTGAAAGCTGAGAAAGCCAACAGATCGAGTGATCTTCATGTGAGTAACGTTGTAGAACGACCGAAGGTCATATACAATGATCGCACGAAGCAGTACGTGATGTGGATGCATGTGGACAATGCGAACTACTCCAAAGCGAGCGTGGGAATAGCAGTAAGCCCCACACCAACGGGACCTTTTACATATCTGCGAAGCATGCGACCCCATGGCCATGAGAGTCGCGATATGACCGTCTTCAAGGACGACGATGGATTGGCCTACATTGTGTACTCCTCCAGAGATAATAGTGAGTTGCATATTGGCGTTCTTACAGAGGACTATCTGGATCTGCGGAGAGGAATGAGAAGGATATTGATAGGGCAACACAGGGAAGCGCCCGCAGTTTTCAAGCACAGGGGAATCTACTACATGATAACTTCTGGATGCACTGGATGGATGCCGAACCCGGCCCAAGTTCATGCTGCAAAATCAATGTTTGGTCCGTGGGAAACCATCGGAGATCCGTGTGTTGGTGGACCACCCGAATTCAGAACTACAACTTTCGTCTCCCAAGCAACCTTCGTTCTTCCTCTACCAGGTTTGCCAGACACTTTTCTCTTCATGGCCGATAGGTGGAAGCCAACAGACTTAAGAGACTCTAGATATGTGTGGCTCCCCCTGACAATGGATGGACCAGCGGACGAGCCTTTGGATGACGAGTTCGAATTCCCCCTTTGGCAGCGGGTTTCCATCTACTGGTACAGGAAGTGGAGGCTTCCTGAAGGTTGGGATGGGTCCCCGGCCATTGCTGTATCTTGATTGACTCCTTTCTTTATTTCAAAATGGTGTACAGATCTCCACGAGCAATTAACTTATTATAGTTTGTATCATAGGTGTAGATCATTTCATAGAATAGAAGTCTTTTTTCACAAAAGTCGTTATCAATTGCTACAGGTGCAAGTTTACTGCTTGTTGTAATTCTTGCAGTATTGGCAGTTTTAAATGCCTACGCGCCTACTGATCGTGATAATTTTGTTTTCATCGGTCGTGTACTCGTCTCACGAGTCCTTCGGTCCATCTTTTGGTGAAGTTGGACCCTTCTTGTTAAATCTACGAGGGTACAGTATACTGTAGCAAAGAGTCCATTCTCATGCGGTACTTCCCATGCGCTCTGTGCACTGAGCCTTCTCCGTGCTTCTCGCGGTATAATGAAAGAAGCAGGAATATTGGATCAGAGGAAACTGCAGACTTCACTTCATGAGCAAAATTCGTCAACGAGGACCAAATTGAAACCTCAAAATATCGTGTCACTGTAATTTCTGACGATGACGCACTCAACCCTCGATCCCTGTGATGCCCTTGCAACAAAAATCTGCTCAGGACATGGGCTTTGGTGGTCAGGAGGTTCGAAGTTTGTGATATAGGTGGTGACCTGCCTGGAACATGTCTACTGGGAAATTGGTTTGTCACTGACTATCGTCAATCTGGAATCCAGCATTTAGCATGTTGCAATGCCTGCTTATGTCCTCCTGACTTGGTTATCCCCTTCAAACCTAATCCTGCGGTTTGCATCTGAACAATTTCAGTACTGTACAGATCTCTATTCTGCACTAATCAACGTTTTTATTTTAAAATTGCCAAGTCTCCTTGGCCATGTCTTGTGATTTTCCCGTGATTGATTCAGCAGGCACATGCCTCTGCCAAAGTCCACTAGCGCGCACGTCGTACTAAGAGTCTCTGCTCCATCATTGTGACATAACTTTGAATATTCCGGTAACCTGGCGTAGAATATGCTGCATAGTACCATGTTCTCAGCCGTCACTAGCAGAGTACAGCCAAAGGAATGACTACCGGCACTATCATTCTTCCCCATGCTGAAGTAGCAGAGGGGAGACCTCGTTCAGATTATTTAGGCCGTGGGACGACTTTGGTCGGAGACCAACTAACTTTGGCTACTAGCTCTCGTGTATAAGACCTTGGAGGCTAAACCCATGCTGTTCTGCTCACGATCGTTTTGATGCATGAAGTCAGAAATACTTTGGTTTGATCCCCTGGTCAGCAGTAATGGTCCAACAGGAGGAATGGGGTCAAGCAGCTTCTTGTTGTGTCATGACGTTTTCCGTACTCGAAGGAATTGACAACGCAGTAAACAGGTCTGTTTAGACTGCAGGCTAGAACAACCCCGACCGTATGACTGTGGACTGACGGCATACGGTCACCGTCGTGACGGTCTCCCCTTTGTCACCGTCGCGTCAAAAAGTCACCCGTCGAGCTCGCACCCTCTACTATTCAAATTCGACACATGGTCAGTAGATGCGAGACACGTGTCATCGACCACCACATTACCCCCATTCAAACTACCCTCGAGTAAGCCAGCGGGATCACCATCAATCGCACAGGCGCAGCATTCCATCGATTATCCGGCCCCTGTAACGAGCTCGGGCTCAGGCACACCCGAAGGCGAGAAGAATCCATGGTAGAGTGCAATTGCCCGTCGCTGCCCTCGCCTTGCCTGGCGCTCACCCCACCTCCCCTCAAATCATTTATAATTTCTGAATCCGAAATTTTTCTCCACCCGAGTACGACTGTTTGCAAATTCAAAGTTAAACGAGGCAGCAAGCAGCAACCATTAAAACGATGCTGCTGCACCTGTCGCTGCATCCTTCTGCTGGTATACTTGGAAAACTTAAACTAGCTTATTACTTTACGGGGAACTTTGAAGCACATTCAAGCATATTATAGATCTCGAGACTGTGCAGCCATATACAAAATTGAACGAAATTTTTCCATGAATTGACTATGCTTCAATTCTGAAGAAGTAAATCTATGCCAGTGGAGGACAGGGTGCTGGATCATGACGAAGGGCTGCAATTGCAAGGGAGAAGGTCGATTCCTTGTCGAAGGTGGGGTTCGGCTCTGTTTCTCACAGCTGAGGATCGTAGTTTCAGGCATCGAAAAATTGGGAGTAGAGACTTGAGAAGAAGCAAACCGCGATGTCAGCGCACTGCGATGCGGTACATATATGGCCATGGCGGTTGGCGCATCAGCCTGATGCGCGCACTGCAGTATTACAACCACGCCGTGAGCGAGGAAGCTAGTCAAGAATGGCCTAGACCCACCTTCATGTCCAGAAAAGATCTGTTTCGAAGTATGATCTTCTTCATGTTCTGACACGAATTTACGTACCAGGGTTTGGGAGAACGAGATCTAATCACTGCTAATGCTCGATGAAGAACAAAGATCAAGGATCTGGAGGATTTCCTTATCTTTCCCATTCCCTTCGCCTACAGTTTTTGGGTTAATTGGAGGTTTTAGAAAGCCCTGGCAGCTGTAACGAAACTAAGCAGAATTCGAAGCCCGCTCCTTCTCTCAAAGCCGCGACGACAGGAAAACTCCTGGCCCCTATAAACGCAAATGCCCTGACAATCGCTAGGCATAATCTTGAATGCAAAAACTCACTCGCCAAATCAAAACCCCGAGATCTCGCGTGATCCGCCATCGCCAGTCCGAGAATGCGTCACAAGAAATGAGAGACGAGATGGCCGGCCGGCTTCATCTTGGGCGCCAAAAGCGAAACCACTGGTGACGGTGAAACCCACTGGTAGACGGTGACGGTGACATTCGAACGGTGTACGCATGCCGTCAGCCCGGAGAGCATACGGTCGGGGTTGTTCTAGCCAAGAGTCTGTTAAGCTGTTGCAGGTCGTACAATCAGAATGGAGGAAACGTGATTGACGTGTATGCGAACTTTGTCAGTGGACACGGTGGATGTACGGTTCATTGCACATCGCGGTGAAAGTCGAATGCATCGAGAATCGAAGGCAGTCAGTCAAAATACACGAAAAGTTGGTGGCAGACCCCATCAGTGAGGCAGGCAGAGACCGCGCCTCGAGCATCAGATGCCCCATGTCGTTGGAGCATTAGTGCTGACATACCCGACCCTTTGGGACGGCAGGAATCAGTAAAAAGCCCTCTTGCACTTTTACCTTGCGGCAAAACAATACTCCAGATTCTCTAATGTTCCAAGTTTACACGATGAAAGAACTGGCAGCGGTGGAACGGGCGTTAATGTTCAGCCAGGCCCTCTCCCTCAGGAAAGGGGACGAGCTGGAACGACAGTACTGAGACTAGGGAGCTCGAGCTGGAACTGAAACTGGTGCTCACTTGATCTTCTCTTTCTCGACTGCGAGTCTCAAGTCGATGTTCTAAGGCCAGAGAGAGAAAGAGAGTGTGTGGGAGTGAGAGAGACCCTTTGGCGAAACGTCACTCGCTTCACGAAAGATGGGCATTGCATCGAGACAAGATCCAGTGGAAGAGTTGACGGAGGTGGTCACAGGTATGGAACACAGGCCGACGAACTTACTTGCCATCCGGGATTTTCTGCGATAAGAGAGAGGACCGAGAGTGCTGTCTCCCACGAGTCAGGGCGTGTGCCAGAATTCCGAGGTACCAGAGCAACATCGAACCCATAAAGGTCAACGGTCCCACAGCCTGAGCTGAACTCATGGCACGCACTCTAATGTACGAGGATCATTACATTCGACAATAATACAGCACGCCACAGTCAGACGAGGGAATTCACATCCACTGTATCTCGACTCGGAGTTGCAGCGAGGCTCGCAACGCCCGTAAAACCCCCCCCCCAACCTTGCATCCGTATCGTTTTACGCTAAAAGTGCAACCAACCTACGAACGGAACGGTTGTCTTCATTGACTGGATGTTTCTGGAAACTACGTAAGCGTAATTCGGCCAAACTCGCACTTCCGGCGAGTTAACCGAGTGGACAGATTACCGCGTGCATAATTACTGCGCTCGAAAGGTTGCCCGCTCTGACCTCGGGAGTACCTCGCCGCATTTTTAAGTGGCATCTTGCAGTTAAAGAGGTCACACTTATAGAGGCTCAGCTCTCGAAGCCTTCAGCCTGTGCCGTGTTCGCAGATTCTGATCGCACTAGCGTCAAATTCGAAGTTTCTCCCCGTATCCACAGAGCAAGCACACATCATTAAAGTCCTAATAGCTCGGCTTACTTTAGCTGGCTACCCCTGCCACATGCTCAGAACCCATTGCAGTAAAGTTGTTACTTTCGCTGCTGCTGTCTTCGGGGTGGGGACATTTTGCCAGGACGTCAGCTCTGACATTCTTGCCAGAGTATGCAATGGAAGCTTCCTCCGTTAGCCTCGGTGCCGAGTTTAGTGAGCTCTTCCATCTCACAAGGAGACGATACTAGAGTATCCAATGTATGCTGATTTGTCCCTGTTTCTGATCTCTATTGCTATCCACTTGGTCAACTCTTCTGCTTTTTATTTATATATACACAACTTCCCTCCACCTGATTTTTCCCTAAACAATCCGTCCTGTAGAGAATGTTGAGAAATGGCATACGACCGGAAAATGATTATGTTTACATCTTATTTTGCTCAATGTGCACATTTAATCACGATTGTGTACATGAAACGACCTTCTTTAAGCGACAATTCCACTATAATATTGAAAAAGCTTTCCAAACAATCCCATCAAACGTGGAGGAAATGAATGATGTGAAGCAAATCAAATATATTTTTTAATTAGTGAACCTTTAAAATATTCCTAAAGTCCAAAATATTCATGCATTTTTTGTTCTTTGTTTTACGAAGAATGATAACTTGTGTGATTTTGATGAAAATTTCTATTTTCTAGATAGAATTAGATTTACTTGAATGATGAACTATACATTTGCATGTGATATCAATCTAGGTAGTGTATCATTCTATATGTACTATGTGGAAACAAAAATTGTTCATGAATTTAGTTTACAAAATCATATCCAACTTCTAATCAGATAACATATCTTACAACTTTGATGTAATTTCTATTTGATTATATGATTTTCAAATCATCCTTAAAGAAGTTAACTTTAGATCTTATTGTTGTACTTCTAGTTAGTTAGACTAAAACTAGTTTAGTCTAATTCTAATCTAGAACTAGACAAAACTAGTTTTCTTGTAATATAGTTATAAGAAAACTAGTCGTGAATGGTATTAACACAAACTTGATATTTTATGAATATATATCTATCTACAAACTTGATATTTCATGAATATATATCTATCTACAAACTTGATATTCCATTAAAAAAATCTGTAAACATTGTTTCTCTAAACATAATCTTATAGAAATGATCATATATATTGAGTGTATTAAGTCTCCAAGTGAATGTTTGTCTTTGTATCAAGTATAATAACTACTAAAAGATCACTACTGTTAATGAATGTTTGACTTTTTTATGCACAAATGTTTAAGTGCTATTGGCTCCCTACATTGGATAAAATCAAAGAAATAAACTATGCAAAAGATGAAACAAAGACATAAACTATTATAATGTGCATCGAGCCAAACATTGTTTTGTTGGAAACAATGTTTCATACAAAATTTGAAACACATTAACATTCACGAACGCTCAATCCACATGCTTAAAAAAAACATTGCTCTTTCATAACAATCATCACACAAAGAAATAACATTGTCATGATTATCAACAACAAAATTGTATGTGTCGTTGAATTCAATATTTTCATTGTTATCATCATAGCATGAGAGTTTTGCTTGATATTTAA